TGTCCTATCCCCCACATCAATGTGCTCCCCCATCCTTCATGACACATAACAATTATGGCTAATTGGCAGAGTATGATATTTGGTAGTTATTTAGTTCATTATGCATTTATTCATTTCAATTTTGTAGCAATTATATTTCAGTGGCAGTGATGATTTTTTAGGTTTTAGACATCTTTGTGAGCTCTGGAATTGCTTGAAAGCTCTGGGCACTGTACCTGCAGGAGAGGCTGGGAGTCTAGCATCACTTTGATGGTCAGGGTAGATTATGGGCCTCGGGCCATTTTGGTGTCAGCAAGCAGACCACCTTCTTCCCCTAGCCGGTGGTCTCCCTAAGACACTGCTGAGGTGCCAGCGGCAGATGTCGGAGACGGGGCCGTCACAGCCCAGAAGGCCTTGGTGATGGCCTAAATTCCAGGCTCAGACTCTAGAGAGCATAGATCCAGTGTCCAGACCTGCGGTCCTTGCATCTCTGTGTTGGGGTGGGGTGTCTTACATGTATGACTCTTCCTGCACATGGGAGAACTATTTGGTTCAGGCAACTGCTGGCCCCACGCCCTACAGAGTAGTGCCCACATGACCCCTACAGGGTCATCTTTGATGTCAGGCTGCGATCTGGTGAGTTCCTGTGGCTTCCCAGAGGCCACAGGGCCTCCCTGTAGACGCCAGCCACTCGCTCTCCTGGCCTCTAGCCTCATTAGTGGTAACTCTGCTTGCTTCTGTTCCCTAAAATAGGACCCTAGCTGGGAGACAGTTCTGAAATGGACTCAGCATGCCCCTCTTCTTGGCCAGATTTCAGGCTCTGGGGTAGAGAACAGGGGACTCCAGGGACTGGCTGCCTCTCTGTGAAAATGTGATGTTGGTTGGGAGATGGGGGGAGGGAAGGAAGGAAGAAAGAAGCTGAAGATGCTGGGCGCGCCCTAGGCCTATGAGGTGGGGCTAGTGGTTGGGAGGGAAATCCACCTGGCTGGCTCCCAGTGCTGTTGCAGGGCCAGTGGCTGGTGCAGGCCCAGGAAATGTCTGTCTGGTAGTTGGGGGAAGGGGGTTGTTAAATGGGGCCAAGTCTGGAACTGTGTCTGCAACACTGGAAAGAACCGTGGGACTGAGGCTCCCCCTTCCCTGCCCGATTGTTGGGGCCACCCTGCCTGTCTTCCTCCCATGAGACAGCCTAGTGTGGTAGGAACACTTCTCTCCCCATTGGGTGAGGCTGTGTGTGTGTTCATCTAGCCCACTAGCAGCCTGTAACTGCCAGTTTCCTACCTGCCCATAACAACGCCAGACCCAAATCACTGCTCTCTCCTCCCTCACCAGACGCCCATGGGCACCTCCAGAGAAACAAACCGACAAGCATAATTGAAGCCATTCTCTGGAGAATCTGAGTCTAAAGTAAAATTTCTCAGCCCTGTCTAGGTTGTTAAGGCCAGAAGGTCCAGTTCTGGGTATCTGGGTATTGAATCATGCAGATGTCTGCCTGAAGTCTGTCCAAGGGTTGGGAATGCGGCAGGAGGGGCCCATTGGAGCAGGATGAAGTGTTGTTTGCTGGTGGCCTGCTTCTGTGGGTGGCTTAGAGGGCGGGGGATCAGGAACATGTTCTCTGCAATAGGAAAAAACACCTCATTTCAAGAGGTTGGACTTTGCAGCCGGCTAGCCACACTGGAAGCGTGGCTGCAGCTGACCCCTACCCTATTCTGCCCTCCCCTCTCCAGCACAACAGAGGCTGCCTCAGAGAGCATACAGGGCCCTGGCCTGCAGGGGCTCTTGATTCAAGGTGGAGAGGGTTGGGATGCAAGAGCTGAGCTGATCTGGGCAAGAGGCTGGTCCTCACCTGCCTCAGGGGCTGGTCCCTGACCCTTTGCTCTGCTCCCACGCCACCCCAGTTGCCTCAGTTTCTCATGCAATCCAGACTTCCTCCTGGGAAGGTGCTGGCCACAGGGAGACTAGATGAGGGTTAAAGCTACTAGTCGCAGGTGGCCCCAGAGCACTTGTGATGTGGCTGGTCTTAATTGAGGTGTGCTGGAGGAGGAGCATACACATCAGATTCTGAAGACTTATTACCAAAAAAAAGGAAAATATCTCAGTAATTTTATATATTGATTACATGTTGAAATGATAACATATGAGTTAAGTGAATATTAAAATTTAATATTTTTATTTAATTTTTAAACATTTAAAAAATGTGGCTAGAAAAACATTTAAAATTACATATGCAGCTTGCATTGTACCTCTATTGGTGAGCTCTGGGTTAAAGAATTTGGAGTTCAATGTTAAAAGCCAAGAAGTCTGGAGAATGTGGGATATTCCCCCCCCCCCCCCCAAACACCATCTCTAGATGTGTCTCTAGACCAGTTCTCAAATTAGGATCCCAGGTTTTAATCTCAGGGATTTAGAGAATTTTTAAACACAGTATTCTGTTTTCAATTCAATGATCTTTTAAAAATTCTTTTGCAGATGAATTTCAATTAGAAGGCATTTTCATAGGATAAGATTTTCATGTCTAAGGTCAATGTTTCTCAAATTGGAATCCTCAGACATTTTCTCAGGAAATCAGATACTTTTCCCTCCCTTGGACAGGTCCATACTCAACCCAAGTTTAAGAAATCATGTTCTCAGGCCTCCGGATTCATAGATGGCACTGTGATCATCTGGCAGCTCTGTTCCTCTGTCTTTTCATACATCCCACCTCTCCTCTTTGCCCCCCACCCCTATCAGCATCCCCATCCTCTTCCTTTCCCAGGAACCCAGGGATGGGGCAGTCCCTGGGAGAGACCCCTGGGATTGCGGGGAAGCTAAAAGGGATGCCCTTTTCCCACCTTCTTCCTGACATTCCCTGACTTTCCTAAGGATACTGTGGGGCCTTCTTGCCTTCTCTAACTTTTGATGCAACCTCTGAAGCTCACACTTGGGGTATATGAAGGGAATGAGCTGGGGAAGAGGCAGGCTTTTACTTTCATTCATTCTTGTATATGCCCTGACCAGGGATTGAATCGAAACCTTGGCCTATCAAGATAACACTCTAATCAACTGAGCTACCCAACCAGGTTCAAGGCAGGCTTTAATTTAAAAGTCACACCGTCAAGAACCAGTCACTCACCCTGACCCCATTAGGGCCTGAATGAGACCATTAGAGGCAACAAGAACTGACAAGACTATTTATGTTTTACCAGCACCACCTGTAATGTGAAATAAAACTATCTATCCTAATCCATAAAATGAGAAGGGTTCATGAAAGTTCTAATTGCTCATATAGTGACTACTGTGATGTACTTTTGGAAATATCAAGATAACGTTTTGTGTGTGTGTGTGTGTGTGTGTGTGTGTGTGTGTGTGTGTAGCACCTTGGAAACCCAGCATCACACAAACCCCTCTCCCCGCCACCTGACCCCTGCTCCCCCACCCCACCCCACCCCCGCCAAACTCCTCCCCACAGTCACCCTTCAGGCCCTACTGAGAAATGCCATTGTTGGAGGGACCGCTAGGTGTTAGGTGGGGACTAGAAGGACAGGAAGGGTCTATTTGGAGAGGGATGGAGGGAGGAAGGAGATGAGGGCTCCACCCCTTCCCACTGACCCAGAACCCTTCCACTCTTGCCTCCATGCTGGCCATTGTCTGTTCTCCAGAGCCTCTTGGAGTAGGTGGGATGTCAGATGTCTGGGGTCCTCTCACTGCCCTGTTGATATAGTCACCCACCCACTCCCAGTGAGCTTTGGGGCAGAACTCTTTGGCAGCCCCTCTCATGCCTGGATCAGCCACTGCCCGCTCCCTTACTGTCCAGCTCCGAGGCTACCCACTCCAGCGAAGTCCCAAGGCCTCTACCTCTGGCCTTTCCGGGTCCAGAGGGAGCAAAGAAGGGAAACCTTTGCCTCAGCCCAAGGTAGGCAAGAGTTGGGGTTGAGAGGCTCATTAAAGCGTTTAATAAGCAATTAACTCAAGAGATGAGCCCTTTGGCTGGTCTGGAACTCCCTCCTCCCAGTGGGGTTCCTGGCAGAGAAAGGCTGAGAGGGTGGGCGGAGTGGGTTCACACAGTTGGCTGGGGCCTCTTTCCTCCTCCCCTCAATACAAATAAATAAATAAACAGCTGGGGCGGGCAGAAAAGCTGAGGACCCGGGGAAGCCCAGGGCTCTATCCACTTTCTGTTAAGGCTGCAGACAGGTTTAGGGAGGCAAGGGCACTCAGGCCCTCCATGTTGGGGCCTTTTCCGGGCTGGTAGCGTCCCCTTCAGGTGAGATCCTCAGCTCACCGAGAAAGTGCTGGAGACCCCAAGAAGGGGCAGCTCCTTCCATCTGCCTCCACTCCTACTGGGCTTCCTGTTCCACCTGCCAGAGCCCTGACCCAATCCAGGTCATTCCTCACCTCTGTCCTCAGGATATTGGGCTTAGGCCTTGGGCTAGATAGACAGAGCTGTGGAGGGCTGGAAGGGGGTGCTAGGGGCTGAACCCGGAAGTTCCAAGATATAAAGGAGCATTGCAACTTCACATCTATTCACCTACCCACGCGCATACAGAGTCCTAAGTCAGACCCAGGCCGTAGGGCAGTAGTTCTCAACCTTGGCTGCACATTAGAATCACCTGGGAATCTTTTTAAAACCCTGATTTCTGGGCCTCATCCTCCAGAGATTCTGTTTCTTTGTTATGGGGTGGGGCCACAACATTATTAACAAAGAAACAGAATTTCCGGAGGATGAGGCCCAGAAATCAAGATTTTTAAAAGATGCCCAGGTGATTCTAATGTGCAGCCGAGGTTGAGAACCACTGCCGTAGGGGGACCCAGGGCAGGTGAAATGCCTGATTTGGGGCTCACTGTTGACTAGTCTGCCTGAACCATTTGCTGGCTCCTCCCTATGGTCTCCTGGAGCTGGTGGTGGTCTGCTGCCTTGCACAACTTTAGGTGGTGCCATTTATACAGAATGCAATGTGGCTGTAATTGTGAAACTGGCTCCCCACTCCATCCACACTTCCCAGCTGTAACGGCACATTCTCCTATCTGTGTTCTCCCTCTGCCTTCAGGCTCTTGAGCAACAACAAGATCACGGGGCTCCGGAATGGATCCTTCTTGGGACTGTCCCTGCTGGAGAAGTTGTAAGTGCTGGGGCGAGGTGGGGCGGAGGTGGGGCATTATGGTCATGGGCAAGTTCAGGAAGGATGAGGAACGCTGGTTGCTAAGGGACCCCACAACCCAGGACCTGCTGGCCAAGAGTCAGACCCACTAGGACCCTGCCTAGGACTTGACTCCCAGGTGGAAGGCAGAGAGGGGTTGGTCTGAGAGAAAGACCAGCTCCTTCACCAGTGACAGCAGAGAGAAGTAGAGAAACCTTGCTGGCCTAGGCAGGGAGGAGCTAAGGGAAGCTCATTAACACTCTTTAATGAACAATTAGCTACGAGGGCTGAGCCTCTTAGTTGGCCAGAAGCCTCTGCCTCCTCCCAGCTGGAGGCCCAGCATAAAGAAAGGGCTGAGGCAGGATTTAGTGTGACTGGGACTTCTTTCCTCCTTCCCTAAAAACAAATCAACAAACAAAGCCCTGAGGGGCCGAGCCCTGGGCGGACCCACACCCCTTCTCCCTAGTTTAGAGCTGCAGCTTCCATCTGTCCATCTGCCCTACAGACCCAGGCGGGCTGGGGTTGGACTCAGGAGGGCCCTGCTAGCCCACAAGAAACTTCTTCCCAGAGTTGGGAACTTGACCCGGTCATGGGCAAGTCATTTAACTTGCCAGATGAGGGGATTGAACCAACCCCTCTGTCAGTTTTCTGTTGAGTTGGCATACTCCAGGATCCACAGCCTGTATGACAGCTCTGGGTCCTGTCTCCTCCACAAAAGACCTGGCCTCCCATCCTACTTGGAGACTGAGGCCCCCCTTCCATCTGCCCCTCCTCAAACCCCTCTCTCCCATCTCTGCTGCCACCCTTCTGGGCATTCCCAAGTCCTCCAACAGGGCCCCTGCCCCCTCTAGTACCATTTTGCCTAAAAGGCTTGGATCAGTGCAGTGGAGGATACAAAAGAATAAGGCGGCAAAGACCCAAAGAGATGACAGTCTAGTGAGACCACAGACAATGCCCTATGTATTAGAATTAAGTAGGATGGGGTTTATGTACGTCAAGTCCAAAAGAAGGATCAGTGAAGGCTGGAAAGCTCAAGGGGAATAGAGATGCATTAACTACATGACAAGGAGTTTAGATCTTTAACCAGGACAACAACCTTATGAGGTTGTCTCTATTACACCCACCTCACGGGGAGGGGAAGGCCTCTCCTCCAACCCCCCCTCCCCACGTGGTGAGGAAAGCTTGATTAGTGGTTTGGTTGGTGGGGGTGGGGAGGCAGAGCATGGTCTGTCTGATCTGGGCCATTCTAGGCGTGGGAGGGGGTCTTGGGATGTTGACCTTAGTGTCGACACAGCTCTGTGACCATCTGATCCTCTGCTCTGCAGCTCACAAACAGGGTGGTCCAGGCAAGGAGAAAGAGCTGCCACCGAGCTGTTATTTAATGTCTCCTTGGGCACCAACAAACAGGGCAGGTTTTATCTTCCCTGAGCAGTTAGCATTTGGGAGTCCGATTCCTCCGCTCAGCCCAGGCGCAGTCTTAGAGGGCCGACTGGCAGGAAACCAGACTCTCCTTCCAGGATCTTTGGGAGGAAGACAAACCGCAGCTGCCTCTCCAGCCCTCTGCTTTGCTCCACAAGGGCCAGTCACCGCCCAGAGACGTTCTCCCTTCTCTTAGCACAAGCAAGCGCCGCTCTGAGCCTCTCGTGGCCTCGCTGACATCTTCCCATCTTTACCCTTTCGGTTGATCAGTCAGAGACCCACTGGGTCTGCCCCCTCCTCATCCTTCAGTCTCATGAGGATAGAGCTTCTGATGAAGATGAAAAGATGGCCTTTTTCTTCCCACCCATGTCAACATACTGAGTCAGATGCCCCTCCTCAGCACTGTGACTCTGGTCACCACAAGCAGGTGCATGCCAAGCATGGGAGGCAATCCGGGAAAGTGGGAGAATAGTCCAGGAACAAGGACTAAATCCTGAGTCATCTGAGGTGGAGGGGTGCTGGGCATGAGGAAGAGCCCTCAGGGCCCGAGTTTGAGCCCCTGCTCTGTTAGGAATCATTCTAGTCATTCATTCTAGAGAACTTTGTTGAGCCCCTTTATTTATTTCATTCATTTATATATCACAAATCTCCCTTATGTATGTGCAAAGCTCTGTCCTAGGCATTGGGAGTGAACACAATAGACCAAGTGCCTGCCCTCATGGAACTTACCCTCTCTTGATGGGACCCAGAAAATAGCAAATAAATGTATATTGTGTCAGGAGACAATAAGTGCTACAAAGCAAAACGAATCAGGGTAAGGAGGATAGAAAGCAATTGGGGGAGCAGGCGTTTTATGTAGTGAGGTCAAGAAAGGCCTCGCTGACAAGGTAACTGGGCCTGAGACTCAAGGGATGGGGAAATGGGAAAAATCAAAAGGCTAGCAAGAGCAGCAGTTGGCAAGGCCCTCGCGGCCAGAGTATGCCTGGCGAGTCTGAGGAACAGAAGGGCATTGTGACTGGGAATTGGTCAGAGATGAGGTCAGAGAGATGCAGGGGTGGGCGCCAGGTTTGGGGCCTCAGTTTCCTCATCTGTGAAAAGGGGGGCAGTGGGGATAGGGTGATTTGTAACATGCATTATGGATTTAAAATTCTATGATCCTGTGTGTGTGTGTGTGTGTGTGTGTGTGTGTGTGTAATATCCACAAGTGCTGCATGTGAAGGAAAAGATCAAAGAGCAAAGTGATGTGGCCAGTTATTCCAAAGAAGGGGAGACCTCTGGGCCGAAGGATGGAGAGGCAGTGCAGGGGCTGGAGGACCCAGGGTCTCCATCCTGGTTGGTCATGACTGTATCAGTCGGGATTCTCCAGAGAAGCAGAATCAGTCGGAGATGCGTGTATGTGTGTGTGTATCTTTCTATAACGTACTAAAGGCCTGGTGCACAAAATGTGTGCACTTGGAGGGGGCACTCAGCCCGAATTTCGAGAGGATGCAGCCCAGGCCGAGTGACCCCACCGGTGCACGATCGGGGTCGGGGAGGGCTCCAAGGCATGTCCGGCCTGTCTCACTCAGTCCTGACCAGTTGGACCCCAGCAGCAAGCTAACCTACCGGTTGGAGTGTCTGCTCTCTGGTGGTCACTGCATGTCATAGTGAGCGGTTGAGCAGCCTTAGCATATCATTAGCATATTACGCTTTGATTGGTTGAATGGCAGACTGGACGACTGGACACTTAGCATATTAGGCTTTTATTATCTAGGATAAATAAATTGTTTTATTTTATTTCTTTATAAAGAAATTTATTTTAAGAAAAGGGCTCACATGATATGAGGGCTGGCAAATCCAAAATCTGTAGGGCAAACCCACAGGCTGCTAAGTCAGGCAGGAGTTGATGCTATAGTCTTGAGACAGAATTTCTTTTCAGCTTTTGCTATTAAGGCCTTCAACTGATTGGATGAGGCCCACCACATTATCAAAGGTAATCTCCTTTATTTAAAGCCAGCCGATGTGGTTAACATCTACAAAATGCCTACACAAACACCTTCAGATTAGTGTTTTGATTAAGTTACTGGGTGCTATAGCCTGGCCTAGTGGACACATAAAACTAATCACCACAAACACTATCCCACTATCTCAGAGATGGGAGAGGGCCTGGGCCCCCGCTCCTGGAGACGCTAATTTATCAGGTTGGAAGGGGCCTGGGAATTTCTTACAAGGTATGCAGGCAATTCTCATGCTCATCTGGGGTTGGGAACCAGTGGACCAGATGACCCGTAGACTGTGGGCCTATTCATCACAAACGAGACGCCGTGGCCTGGCGTGCAGTTGGTGCCAGGAAACACTGATCTCTCTGTCCTGTCAGGCTGAGATGTCCAGGCTTGGGCAGCCGAGCCCATGGCAGCTTAACATCCCACAGTCCAGAGCAGCAAGTCCTGTGGGAGGGTTGGGGCCTCGACTAATAACTGAAGTAGTAGGTCTGGGCTGCTCCAGAAAATACTGGCAGTGCCTCCCTGTGCCATGGGCGAGGCCCCCCTCTCTGGATTCCACAACCCCTCAGCCTGGGCTAGCCTGTTTCTTGCCCAGAGGAAGGATTTCTGGGATGGGGGTGGGCAGGCTAGGAAAGGGCCCAGAGCTTTACTTTGCCATTTACCTTTTGGGTGCCTCGGGTTCCTCGCCTGGAAAATGGGGCAACGCATGTTTCCCTGACAGGTTGTCATGGGATGCGTTCCTCTAGGGCAGTGGTTCTCAACCTTCCTAATGCCGCGACCCTTTAATACAGTTCCTCATGTTGTGGTGACCCCCAATTTCATTGTTACAGATTGAACATAATTAAAGCATAGTGATTAATCACAAAAACAATATGTAATTATATATGTGTTTTCCAATGGTCTTAGGTGACCCCTGTGACAGGGTCGTTCGACCCCCAAAGGGGTCGCGACCCACAGGTTGAGAACCGCTGCTCTAGGGAGAGAGCCGGGGACAGCAGGGACTTCCAGGCATTAAATGGCAATTCCCTTCTCGGAAGTGTTCCAAGTTACAAGATGTTATACGCCCCCTCGTTGCGTGGGATTGTCCAGAGCTCCCAGCCTGCAGCAGGCAGTCATGTAGATGAAATGGAGGTGCTGAATGCACTAGGGCTGGCCCATTCCTCTGGCGCCTCGCCTCTCGGCCCAGATCCCCCACCATGCGCAGTCAATGGGGAGCAAGCCACTGCGCGGCTTCCCGGGGCTCCGAGGGCGCCCCAATCACAGTGAGAGCCCTGGACCAAGTGGGCCACAGGGCACACAGCCCCGGAAGAGGCCGCGAGAGGAGGCTGGCGTGAGAGCGAGTGGCTGCGTGGACACCGCCCCCAGAGGCTGTGCGCTCGGAGGGAGGGCCCGGGGCGGGGAGTCGCGCAGCCCCAGGATGATTTGTCATTGCCTAATGAGATTAATAAGCCCGGGGGGCTGGTATGCAGGGGGATGGGCTTCTCATTAGAAGCAGATGGTCATGGGAATGGTGGCAAGTGGGGTCCGGGGGTGGAGCGCCGCTCACCCGCCAGGTGGTTTCCATTAATCTGTAGGCGGGGCCAGGGGGGCGCGGTCCCTCCTCCCCTTCCCACCCCCCTGACTTGGGGAGGAATGCGGCGGGGAGCTGCCCTAGGCTCTGGCGCAGCCGAAGGCCCAGAAGGGAGGCTGATGGGTTCAGGGACAGCCCTCCCGCTTGCTGTTGTAGCTCCATGTCTGGCACAGGGTATGTGCTCAATAAATACCTGTTGGATGATATCAGAGATGAGAGGGGCCTGGGGCTTGAGGGTGGGAGGGAGGCTGGGACCATCTTGGCTTTCCTCCCGGCCACCAGACCTCTCCCTCTCCCGCACCCCCCCTCTCGCCCCCCAAACAGCCCCTATACCTACGGGGGTATTTTAAGCCCCTTCTCAGCCAGGGCCCGCTTTCTAGTGAACCCTGGAAGTCCTGGAGGGCCCGGGGAAAGCTGCTCTGCAGCCTCCGAACCAATAATTTGGTTTTCAAACCCACAAGCAGGGAGGTCTGCAGGGGCTGGAGGGAGCCAACTTCGTGCCGCCCCACCCTGTCCAAGCGTGGTGCGCGCACGCACACACGTACACACACACACACACACACACACACACACACACACGGAAACATACACACGCACACTGTTACACAAACTCACGCTCAATCTCTCTTGACAGTTTTAGTGAGATATAATTTACATACCATAAAGTTTGTCCAGTTAAAGCATTCAATCCAATGGTTTTTAGTATATTTACCCAGTTGTGCAATCATCATCATAATCTAATTTTAGAACATTTTCATCATCCCCAAACCTTGAATCATTAGCAGTCACTCCCTATTTCCCAGCCCTAAGCAACCACTAATCTACTTTCTGTCTCTGTAGATTTGCCTATTCTGGACATTTCATATACATGGGATTATGTGTTTTTTTGTAACTTGCACTTAGCATAATGTTTTCAAGGCTCATTCATATGATAGCATGTATCAGCACTTTATTCCTTTTTATGATCGAATAATATTTCTTGTGTGCCTATAGCACATTTTTGTTTATTCATTTATCGGTTGATGGACATTTGAGGTTTTTCCACGTCTGGGCTTATTGTGAATAATGCTACTATGAACATTCCTGTCCAGGTTTTGTGTGCGGATGTATGTTCACTTCTCTGGAATATCCACCAAGGAGTGGAATTGCTGGGTCGCATGGTTACTCTAACTGTCATACTGTTTTTCCAAAGTGGCTGCCCCATTTACACTCCTAGCAATAATGTACAAGGGCTCCAGTCTTTCCACATTTTCATCACCACTTGCAGTTGTCCTTTTTTAAATATATTTTTATTTATTTTGGAGAGGAAGGAAGAGGGAGAGAAAGAAACATCAGTGATGAGAATCATTGATCAGCTGCCTCCTGCACGCCCCCTACTGGGGATCGAGCCCACAACCCAGGCATGTGCCCTGACAGGGAATTGAACCATGACCTCCTGGTTCATAGTTTGACACTCAACCGCTGAGGCACCCTGCTCAAGCTTGTCTGTCTTTTTTTATTGGCTGTGAAGTGGCATCTCATTGTGGTTTTGATTTGCATCTGCCTAATAACTAACAGTGTTGAGCACCTTTTCATGCATTAATTGGTCATTTGTATATCATCTTTGAAGAAATGTCTATTCAAATCCTTTGCCCATTTTTTTCATCTGGGTTGTCTTTTTATAACTGAGCTGTAAGAGTTCTTTATAAATTCTGTGTAGAAGTCCCTTTTCAAGTATATGATTTATGGAAATATTTTCTCTCATTCCATGGGTCGTCTTTCACTTTCTTTTAAAAAAATATATTTTTATTGATTTCAGAGAGGAAGAGAGGGAGAGAGAGCTAGAAACATCAATAATGAGAGCACATCATTGATCGGCTGCCTCCTGCATGCCCCCTACTGAGGATCAAGCCCACAACCCGGGCATGTGCCCTCCAGAATAGAACCCGGAACCCTTCAGTCCACAGGTTGACGCTCTATCTGCTGAGCCAAACCAGCTAGGGCACCTTTTACTTTCTTAATGGTGTCCTTTAAAGAGCAAAAGTTTTAATATTTTATTAAATCCAACTTATCCATCTGCTGTTTTGTTGCTTGTGCTCACACACGCACTCTTACACACTAAGCTTCCTGAGTTTCTATTTTCCCCAGAAGGGTAGAGGATATGATTTGCTCCCAGAAACACACACACACACACACACACACACACACACACTTTGGCCATGGGTGGGGGTGTCCGTCTACTCCATATTGACATCGATACAGGGAGAGGAGTGTGCTGAGTCAGGGGAGCCTGGTCAGGGCTGGGCAAGTGGTTTGGGGGAGGGGAGGCTCCATCCGTACCCTGCACCTCCTCCAGGTTCCAAGACCACAGCTCTGTGGAAGCAGAGGGCAGAGAGGGACAGGAGATGCCACATCACAGAAACATCTGTGCATCCTCATGACCTCATCTAAGAAATGAAGGGATCAGATTAGACAATCCAGAGCAGGGGTTCCTCACAGCCCCTGAAATCATATGCACAATGTTGGGTGTATGCATTTTTCTGGGGCGGGAGTCCATCCTCAAATTTTCAAAAGGTTGTGCTTAGCAATTACGGTGCAGAACCACCGACCTATGAGGGCCTCATAGGTCTGAAGAAATTGCCCAAGTTCTGGCGGAGTGTCCCTTCCTGCTGCTGGAGAGGGCACCGCCCCAGAGCTGCTCAGGGACCAGGGACCAGGGACCAGATCCCATGGGGCTGTCAGAGCTCAGCCCAGGTCCATGCCCCTCAGTAGAGGACCCAGGACTACTGGTCTGGGCGAGCAGGCCAGCTCCCAAGGGCACTTGAGGGGCTGCCTTGGTCGCCCAGGAAGCCACTCTGCGGGTGAGAGGCGGGGGGGGGGGGGGGCAGAAGGAGTGCCAACACTTGGTGGAAGCTCCCCTGTCAGTAGCCCGGCCTGGCTGGGCTGCAGGAAGTCCAGGGCAGGAAAGTGCTGGGGCTAGCGGCCGGCCGCCTTGCTCCCATCTGCAGAGCATCAGTGGGGCAGGCGGGTGGGGGTTCCCGCGGAGAGGAGGGCCGGAGGAAATGAGAATAAACACAAGCGAGCTAGAGGGAAGGGGCGGGGGGCTGCAGCCTCAGCCCCTTGGCAGCCCATGAAGGGAAGTGACACAATGAGGAATGTGTTTCCCTCTGCCGTCCCCCGCACGGGGGTGGGATGCAGAGCCCTGAGAATGGCCAGACCCCAACAGGGGCCAGGGGGCACACGCTGGAATAGCATCGGAGCGAGGGGGGGGTGAGGGCGAGGGTCTGGGCAGCAAAAGGGGGTGACAGGCAGGAAGGACAACCCTGGGTCCTCTCCAGCCTCCACTCCGCAGGGTGTTCCAGGCCTGCGTGCTTGCACGTCCCCTGCGTGTGCCCGGCCTGGGGCACCTCCCAGCACGCCTGCGTATGGAAGCCTTTCCCCTGGGAAGCTGACCCCTTCTGGTGGCTTCCCTTCTTTCCCAAGGGACTCCGGGCTATGGAGGCTGGCTGAGTCCTTGGTATGAGAGGAAGCTGGGGTATGAGGACCCTGGGCCATGGTGTTTCATTGCGCGCGCGCGCGCGCTCTCTCTCTCTCTCTCTCTCTCTCTCTCTCTCTCTCTCTCTCTCTCTCTCTGTGTCCCCAACTGGGACGGTCAGTGGGAAAACAGGCCCCCTGGTGGGAGGGCACCTCCCCATCCTGGACACCCATTTCCTCTCCTCCCAGCAGGGAGCTGGCTCCGTTAACCCCCTCCTGCCCGCAATCCAGAGCTGTCCCTGAGGCTTTGGCAGGAGAGTCTGTCCCTCATTCTGGGCTGGAGAGTGGCAGGGGCTCCACTATCTTCCGTCCCGGCTGTGCCCTGCTGGAGCTCAGCCCAGAGTGGTACTTCCCTTGCCACCTTCTCTCAGCCTTGTGCCTCCTCAGAGACCCTGGGGGGAGGCAGGCACAGGACTGAGCAAACCTCCGCCCTGAGGGGCCTGGCACTCGGGTGGGTGATTTATGGCCTTGCCTTGGAGTCCGGGGCCCTGCGACCAGGTCAGCATCCATGCAGTCATCAACCCGCTGCCCAACCTGTTTCCTCACTTGTCAGCTGGAGAGATTCGCAGGATAGCCATGAAACACCTCCGACAGCCAGGCAGGGGAGATTCCATCTTTGCAGAGCACTTTACCATAGACTGCAACACCCATTTTGAAATGATTCTCACAACCGCCCCATGAGACACTCAGGGCAGCGCAGAGGTGGAACCAAGGCCTCCCAACCCCGAGCCCAGTGCTCTCACTTCTTGTTCACATGCTCCTCTTCCTGCTTCCTCATCTGAGGCCCTGGCATCCCTTCTCCTGGCATCTACATCCTCGCTCCTCTTCCTGACCAAGTACCCCTTACACCAGGCAGGAGGCTGCAGAGACGGGTTTGAGGGGCAGGGGCCTTCATCCAGCTTCCCAGCCAGTGCTAAGGAGTGGCGGGATTTAGGAGGAAACTGAGTCCCAGCACTTCCTGTGACAGGGAGGCTACCAGGCCCCAGGGGAGCGAAGGGAGGGGAGCGGGGGTTGGGCAGAGCCCCAGAGGTATGAGGGCCTCCCCACTTTCCTCCCGCAGGGACCTGAGGAATAATGTCATCAGCACGGTGCAGCCCGGTGCATTCCTGGGCCTGGGGGAGCTGAAGCGCTTGTAAGTGGCATGTCCTGCCCCCAAACCTCCCAGCCCTCCCATCATCCCTGCAGAGAAGGTCCCATGGATCCCATGAGCAACCACCCCACCTACTCACCCACCATCCCGTCTTCTCACCCACCCATAGCGGCCCCCCTCCCCACACAGCATCCTGGCTGGGGGCAAAAATTTGAACCCCCAACCTCATCTCCTTTTTCACTCTGCTTCCCACACACAAGCCACACTTTTGTGTCCCTCCCAAGCGGCTCTGTGTGCAACCACGTGGCCTGCTGAGGCTGTGTGTGTGTCTTTCTAGAGATCTCTCCAACAACCGGATTGGCTGCCTCACCTCGGAGACTTTCCAAGGCCTCCCCAAGCTTCTCCGACTGTGAGTGAGGGGCGAGGGGCGAGGGAAGGCTCACCCCAAAGGATGGTTTGGGAGGAGGAAGGCCGCTCCAAACCCTTACAGGTCCCTGCCTGCTCTTCACTCCCCGCTCCTCCCTCTGGCGCCAGGAGACCCTAAGATCGGCTCACTGTTCCCTGTCCCCTGCAGAAACATATCTGGAAACATCTTCTCCAGTCTGCAACCTGGGGTCTTTGATGAGCTGCCAGCCCTCAAGCTTGTGTGAGTATCTTTTCCCAGCCCAAGGACTCAGACCCCGCCTGGTTCCTCTGCCCTGGAGGGAGGCACCTGGGCACCTGACCACAGTGGCCAGCCTGTGAGTAGGCAGGACAGACAGTGGCTGAGACTCCACCATAGTTGCCTTCCCATGATTGCTGGGCCAGTGCACACGGACCCACGGTTGCCCTCTCCAGCTCAGTCCCTCCCTGGGGCTCCATCCCCACTCCGGGAGCCCACACTCCTCTGCTCCACTCCGTGCCCTCTACCCACTCTGCAGGGACTTCGGCACTGAGTTCCTGACTTGCGACTGCCGCCTGCGCTGGCTGCCGTCCTGGGCCCGGAATCACTCCCTGCAGCTGTCCGAGCGCACGCTCTGTGCCTACCCCAGTGCCCTGCACGCCCAGGCCCTGGGTGGCCTCCAGGAGGCCCAGCTGCGCTGCGGTGAGCAAATCCTCACCCTGCACACCTGCCCGGGACCCCGCCCACCCCTCGGGCCCAGGCTCCCTCCTGAAAGGCCTGGCCTGGCCGCCTCCAGGCTCCCTCAGCATGAAGCGTTCCTGGGTGGTGGGCAGGTTCTCCCCGGGCATCCTTTCCCTCAGATCCCACTGGGGGTCACCTTCCATCAGCTTTTCTAAACTTCCCTTGGGCCTGCTGCTTTATGTTTTCATCTGGGGTGCCGTGTGCTGTGGAAATGAGAACTTTTACTAGTTTGTCCTAAACCAGTGGCTCTCAACCTTCGGGCCCTTTAAATACAGTTCCTCATGTTGTGACCCAACCATAAAATTATTTTCGTTGCTACTTCATAACTGTAATGTTGCTACTGTTATGAATCGTAATGTAAATATCTGATATGCAGGATGGTCTTAGGCAACTCCTGTGAAAGGGTCGTTCGACCGCCAAAGGGGTCGCGACCCACAGGTTGAGAACTGCTGTTCTAAACCCTCCTGCCCATCGCCTTTGCTCTTGTCCTTGGAGGCATCCTCCTGCCCCCTTGTCCCCGCCCCCCCACCTCAGGCCCCAGACAGAGGAGGCCCAGCCGGGCCCCTCCTGGACTCTCCCACACTGTGCACTCAGGCCCCTGCCCTCTCCTCCCACAGAGGGGGCCCTGGAGCTACACACGCACTACCTCATCCCATCCCGACGCCAAGTGGTGTTCCAGGGGGACCGCCTGCCCTTCCAGTGTTCCGCCAGCTACCTGGGCAACGACACCCGCATCCGCTGGTACCACAACCGGGCCCCCGTGGACAGCGATGAGCAGGCGGGTATCCTCCTGGCCGAGAGCCTCATCCACGACTGCACCATCATCACCAGGTAAGGCCCCGCTGCCCCTTCCCAGCCACAGCACCCATGTCCCGCCCCCCCAGAGAGCTGGGCCCACACACGCTCCTGGGAGTATGCCACCTGTGTCAGAGTGCACGTGTGCGTGTGTTCATGGAAGGCCAGGGCTATGTCAACAGTCCAGATAAGGGATAGAAATTAATTGCCTAATAGAGAAAATGATTATATCTGACATTTCTTTAGAGCTTTTACAGAGTATGCTATAATGGCTCTCACCTGTGTTATCAGGCTCACTCTCTCCAATTGACTTGTAAGATGTGGGGAGCTGCTATAGGATTAAGCCTCGGACTGACCTGTTGGCAAAGTCACAAACAAGTCCCAGCTTAGAGGGCACAGTCCCCTTAAGCATAATTAGGCTTGACCTTTTGACGCTCCCTAGATCTTACCTGGGATAATGGGCTGAGGGAAGTGCAGCAAGAACAAGAACAAAAACAAGTGAAACTCACAAGAACAGTGTAACTATGGAAACCACTACCTTGTTTACCTCTGACTATAAAATAAAGGCTCAGCTTGCCTCGGGATCTTTCTCTTTGGCCTCAGCCAGGCACAGGAAGATCCACGGAGACTAAAGAGAGCTAGAGAGTTCTGAACGCTGTCTCCATGTAAAACATTCTTCGCCGACTCCGTCCACACCTTTGGGGACCCCCGGGGCTGGACCCTGGTGGTAAGACAGCTATTACCTCCATGATAAAGATGGGGAAAGTGAAGCTCAGAAAAGCATTATCACAAGGCCAATCAGAATGAAAGGAGTATGTCCTTGTGTCCCTCACTCAATTGAAGAATAAACAACCTGAAGCTCATCCTACACACCCTGGGGCAGGGCGCCTGTGGGTGGCCAGGCCAGGGGTGCTTAGGGGGGTGGCGTGGCCCCTGAGTACCTCACCGAGCCAGCCCTGCCTGCCTGCTTGCAGTGAACTGACCCTGTCTCACATCGGTGTGGGCGCCTCAGGCGAATGGGAGTGCTCCGTGTCCACGGTCCAGGGCAACGCCAGCAAGAAGGTGGAGATTGTGGTGCTGGAGATCTCTGCCTCCTACTGCCCAGCCGAGCGTGTCGCCAACAACCGAGGGGACTTCAGGTTCGGTGTGCTCAGCTGCCCCAGAGACCCAACAGCTTCCAACCCAGCCCCCCACCCCACCCCCAACTCCTGCATCTGAGACCTAAGGTGACCAGGGTCTCCCATCCACTCTAAGTTGGAGAAAACACTCCCTTTAGTCACTCAGCTCCAAGTCCTGCTGTTGTATTCAGAGACCTCATCTTTTGTTATAACCATCTGAAATGTGTGGTGCAGGACAGAAAGGATTTTATTTGCTTCTTTACATTAATAGTTTACAAAGCTCTCCCACTTGAATATCACATCTAATATCCCAATGGGTCTCTCAGTTAGGAAGGAGGTATGATTCTCCCCATTGTACAGCTGAGAATACTGAGGCCCAGAAAGGATAAGTGACTTGAACTTGGGACTCAAGTCCAGCCTCCATAGCACCAATGACAGCACTAGCAGAATAAATACAGCTAGAAAGTGGAGCTTGGGAACCCCTTGAAGGCCAGCCCCAAACCACTCTTCTGGATCCTTTCCTCAGAGGGTCCGGCATCACAGTTCTAAGGGGAGGGGTGGGGCCCTTGCCTTGAGGGGCCTGGGTCATTGGCAATTCCTGCCTCTGCCCCCAGGTGGCCTCGAACTCTGGCTGGCATCACAGCCTACCAGTCCTGCCTGCAGTACCCCTTCACCTCGGTGCCCCTGAGCGGGGGCACTCCGGGTACCCAGGCCTCCCGCCTGTGTGACCGAGCTGGCCGCTGGGAGCCAGGGGACTACTCCCACTGTCTGTACACCAACGACATTACCCGGGTGCTCTACACCTTCGTGCTGGTGAGGCCAGGACAGGGGGCGGTGGGCACCCCATCAGCTCCTGTTCCAGGGACCGGGAGGGGAGAAGCCTCACCATGCTCCTCTGCTCCCTGGGTGTACACCGTGAGGGGCTCTTGCTCTCCTCCTGAATCTCCTTCCAGGGGATTCAGACCGCCAAGTCCACACTCAGGAAGTGCAAGCCACCCCAGCATCTTCACCCCCCAACACAGCAAGGGCAGCCTTAAGGGGGACAGCATGAGTCAGCCACTGTGCTTCAGCCAGTGGCCTAGAAGTGGGTTGCCTTGAGTTGTGATGAGCTCACTCCTTCCTCTGCCTGCTGTCTTGGTTAGACCCAGCTGGTGGGCCAGACCCTCTCCCCAGAGCATTAGCACAGAGGAGGGGCCCCCAGGGGCAATTCTGGAGAAGGAGGAGAAAGATTGGACTATCCACTATCTTTCCCTAACGCCCCTAGATGCCCATCAACGCCTCCAACGCGCTGACCCTGGCCCACCAGCTGCGAGTGTACACGGCCGAGGCTGCCAGCTTCTCAGACATGATGGATGTAGTCTATGTGGCTCAGATGATCCAGAAATTTTTGGGTTATGTGGACCAGATCAAAGAGGTGAGATTCAACCAGGCCACTGGGGCCCCTAGAAACTTCCTGCTCCCCATTTTCTCAAGCCTCTCACACCCCAGCCCCTGGATACCAAACCCCACCCGTGTCTCAGTGACTCCCCTCGTCCCCCCCCCCCCCCAGCTGGTGGAGGTCATGGTGGACATGGCCAGCAACCTGATGCTGGTAGATGAGCACCTGCTGTGGCTGGCCCAGCGAGAGGACAAGGCCTGCAGCGGCATCGTGGGTGCCCTGGAGCGCATTGGGGGGGCTGTCTTGAGCCCCCACGCCCAGCACATCTCTGTGGTAATGTGGGTCAGCCAGGAGGGGGCTCCTGGGGGCCTGACACTGGGCGGGAACTAAGAGTCATCCCAAAGGGAAAGGCTTCTCTCAGGCAGTAAGCCCCCCAACTGTGCACCTGCCATGAGCACCGAACTTGACTAGATTCCCAGTCGTGTGGCCTCAGATCCTGAGTAGTCAGGGGCAATGAAAGAGAGGGAGGCCAGTGACACCGGGGAAGTTACGCTCAGCGTTATGGTGGGGAACCAAGTTGCCGGGAGGGGGGGGGGGGGATAGCACTGTGATGGAGTGTAGAGTAATGGAGCCTTCTGTCCCCTGAGGCGAGGGTGACATTTCCGATGGTGGGTCGTGAGCCAGTTAGCAACCACGGCAGAGCACCTACCACTTGCAGATATTGTGCTGGTCCCTCGGGAGATACAGGAGGTCAAACAGGCTGCTCTGCAGCTTAGTTAGGGAGGCAGAACAAGCCCGAGTTAAGAGGGGAGCAAGATACAAGGTGAGTGTGCATGCGTGGGAGGAAGGGCCTTAGGAGGAAGAAGGCGCCATGCCAGGGACTGGGGAGGATCCATGATGACGTAGGACTGGCCAGGCCTGGGGAAGACAGTGAGGAGTAAAGGCAGAGGGACAGGGCCTGAGCCGACAGGGACTGCGCAGTCTCAGGCAAGAGAGGCCAAACCGTATCTCAGAGGGTCGGGTGACAAGTTCCCTGTCCCTAGAACTCGAGGAACGTAGCATTGGAGGCCTACCTCATCAAGCCGCACAGCTATGTGGGCCTGACCTGCACGGCCTTCCAGAGGAGGGAGGCCGGTGTGCCCGGCGCCCGGCCCGCAGGCCTGGGCCAGAACCCCTCTCTGGAGCTGGAGCCCCTGGCTGATCAGCAGCTCCGCTTCCGCTGTACCACCGGGAGGCCCAACGTTTCGCTGTCATCCTTCCACATCAAGGTGGGCGCTGGAGCAGGGAGGACGCTATGAGGGGAGGTGCCCAGATGGGGGTGCCTGGTGAGGGTAGATGATCTGAGAGGAGACAGGACCCAGAAAAGGGGGTAGGGGAGGCAGAAGGAGGGGTAGGAAGACATCAGAGTCCCAGGATATCTGGTGTCTCTGAGGAATTCCTGTGTCCCCCCCAGAACAGCGTTGCCCTGGCCTCCATCCAGCTGCCGCCCAGTCTCTTCTCGTCCCTTCCGGCCTCCCTGGCGCCCCCAGTCTCCCCAGACTGCACCCTGCAGCTGCTCGTCTTCCGAAATGGCCGCCTCTTCCGCAGCCATGGCAACACCTCCCGCCCAGGAGCTGTGGGACCCGGCAAGAGGCGTGGGGTGGCCACCCCTGTCATCTTTGCAGGAACAAGTAAGGGGATAAACTATGGGTACCAGGTACCCAATGGGATCCCTCCGAAGTGTCTGTCCTGTGCCCCTTCATCCTGCTCTTCTTCACCTACCAGCGCCCCCTAACATCCTGGTGGAGGTGGCAGAGAATGGTGGCCCCTCACCATTTCCAAGGAGGATGGGGGACACAGACCTCCCATAAACAAAGGGGTTGGTGGAAAAAAGGTTCAGGAAGACACTGGATTTTACATCCCAGATGTGTCAGATTTCAAAAGGGCTCTAAGTACAAACCCTTGACCCACCCAGACCTCCCTCAGTCCCACCTTCCTCCAGAGTCCCCTCTTTGCCTGGGCTTTCGCTCCCTCAGCATGACCTCCTGGCCCCAGCCCTGGACTCCTCTCTGTTAGATATGTCACCACCGCACTTTTGGCACTTAGAGTGGGCCACGTCCCCGTGCTTTTATTTTCATTTATTTATTTGTTTTTAACCCTCATCCAAGGATATGTTGTTGCTTTTTATTGATTTTAGAGGAAGGGGCACACACACACACACACACACAGACAGACACACACACACATACACACCTTGATTGGGTGCCCTCTGCAGGTACCCCAAATGAGCTGGAACTTGAAATCTGGGTGTGTGCCGTGACTGGGAATCGAACCTGCCACCTTTTGGTGTACAGGACAACACCCAACCACTGAACCACACTGGCCAGGGCCCAGTGCTTTCATTTTGATTCATCCTGGTGTCTCCCCAGTGAGACTGAGGACCTGGGAGCAGGCCCACATTTGGCATCTAACTATCCACCAAGCCCAGCACACACCCAGCCCAAGGGGGTTCTGTGCCTGCTCAGCTGCTGCTTGGTTCCACCCAGCCAGCCCCACCCCCACCCCCACTCCGTGGCCTTGTGTGTGGACTTCCTCCCCCCTGTAGGTGGCTGTGGCGTGGGAAACCTGACGGAGCCCGTGGCCATTTCCCTGCGGCACTGGGCTGAGGGAGCTGAACCCGTGGCAGCTTGGTGGAGCCAGGAAGGGCCCGGCGGCGCTGGGGGCTGGAGCTCCGAAGGCTGCCAGCTCCGCTCCAGCCAGCCCAACGTCAGCTCCCTGCACTGCCAGCACCTGGGCAATGTGGCCGTACTCATGGTGAGGAGAGTAGGACTGGGGGGTGAGGGCCAGGGGACAAGGGAGGTGTGTGAGGTGGAGCTGGGGCTCTCTGATCACCCAAGGCCACAGAGAAATCAAGGACAGCAGCCTTGTCAGGCCTCAAAACTGTCAGGACTCAGGGCAATGTCCCTCTGGTCTCCCCCCCACACACACACACTTTTCATCTTCATGAGACAGGGAGGTCCTGCTTCCACTCCCAGAATGAGAGAGCGGGTCTGGCACTACCCAGCCTGGTCTTCTGAGACCCAGCCTGCAATCCCCGATGTCCAGGTTATTAAAGTGGGGAAAAATCTGGGAACATTTGTCCTTTCTGATCACCCTCCTTATTCACCCCCATTCGTTCCCTCTTCCTCACCACATGTCACACCCTGAGCAGGCATGCAGCTGTATTACAGACAGACTTTCCCCTCTCTCCTCATCTCCGGTTTCCAGGCTGGGGACCTGGAAAGTTCCTACAGAGGCAGGCAGTAGATTATTAATGCTACAAAGGCCACCTTTCTAAGTGGATATCATGGTACCTACACCTTTGTCTACGCAGATGGACTAAGCTGAGGATCAGACCGGGTTTGGGAAGAGGAAAACTGGCCTGGGGCCTGGTCAGGACTCCACAGGACAGCCCTTACCTGGCTTCCTAGTACACACTTCCTCTCCCCACTCTTCCCAGGAGCTGAGTGCCTTTCCCAGGGAGGTGGGGGCCTCGGGGGCAGGGCTGCATCCAGTCGTGTACCCCTGCACAGCCCTGCTGCTGCTCTGCCTCTTCTCCACCATCATCACCTACATCCTCAACCACAGGTGGGAGCTGTTGCAGGAAAGGAGGGTGTGGTGGGAAGGCTTGGGGGTAGGGGTGTCTCACTAAGTACTGGCAAGTGATCCTTTCCCAGGTCGGTCCACATGACTTTTCCAGGCTCTTGCCTAGCATTGCATTTTGAAGGTTCTGGGGTTGGAAAACACATTTTGTGGGTTAAGACCTGCCTTCCCTGGAGCCTCTATCACATTCCCACGTATGCATGCACACAGATACCTGCCACCCCCTCTGTGGGCCTCCCCATGGCCTTGAGCCCCCCCGGGCCTGACCTTGGGCTGGGTGGCCCATTAATTACTGTTTCTGGGGCAGCTCCATCCATGTGTCCCGGAAGGGCTGGCACATGCTGCTGAACCTGTGCTTCCACATGGCCATGACCTCCGCCGTCTTTGCAGGAGGCATCACACTCACCAACTACCAGATGGTCTGCCAGGCGGTAAGAGGAGAAGGGGCTGAGGTGGGGGTTGGAGAGCTCCAAGATTAGTGATGGCCGCCTGGGCTGTAGGGAGGGGCAGGAGAGGAAAAAGGGGACTCATGCTAATAGGCCCCAGCTCCATTGTTCTCTCTGGGTCCAGTCTTACTTGTCAGGGGAGAGGAGCATGAGAGTTAGAAGGTAAGAAGTAAGAAGCAGGAAAACTAGGAGGTGGGACTTCAAAGTGGGGAGTTGGAACCTGCAATGGAGGAGAGGTCGGGGGCGAAGCAGATAGCAGTAACTAAGTCATGGAGTCACCAGAGTGGGGGGAAAGCCTGGGGTGGACGTAGAGAGGGTAACAGCAAGGACAGACCCGGGGGAAGGTCTGCGGGAAGTTGGGGGCCGGGAAAATGGGAGGAGTGGGAGCACACTGTGGGGCTGAGGCTCTGGCCTGGCCCCAATGGAAGCAGCCCCTCCCTGGGTGTGGTAGCAGTCCCAGCCTCAGCACCTTGGTCCCGCAGGTGGGCATCACTCTGCACTACTCTTCACTGTCCACCCTGCTCTGGATGGGTGTGAAGGCCCGCGTCCTCCACAAGGAGCTCACCTGGAGGGCGCCCCCTCCCCAGGAAGGGGACTCCGCCCCGCCTGCTCCCCGCCCCATGCTCCGGTACATGCTTCCCGATACCAGCTTTGCAGGGGGGAAGGGCTCAGAGGGGGGCGTGGGACACCAAATCAACTCTCCCCGGAGGGATGCGGGGTGGGTCCAAGGTCCTGGGAGACCACTGTCCCAACGACAGAAGATGCAAGCTCTAGGTGGTGCCCGGTTGCTGAAGGTCATGTAGTGGGCACTGAGCAGGGAACCCGGAAACCCTCAAATCCTGCACTTAGAGTGAGAGAGAGGTCTGGCCTCTGTCCCTTAGAATAGTCTTGGCCAAGTCCCCTAGGGATCTCCTAAGCCTGCCTTGTAAGCGCCTTGCATCCATGGCAAAAAATCCTGACAGAATTTAAAGGGGAAAGAAGATGGGATGGAGACCCCTAGTCAAGGGTTCTGAGCACCTGGTTCCTCTCCCTTGCTCCTCCTCTCTCTGACTCCCAAAACCCATTCCTTTCCAGGTTCTATTTGATCGCTGGAGGGATCCCACTCATTATCTGCGGCATCACAGCTGCTGTCAACATTCACAACTACCGGGACCACAGCCCCTAGTGAGCACACTGCCTGCCCCAAACCTACCCACCCCAGCACCAGATGCCTTCTACTCCACTGGCAGGGGCACCTGCGAGCTCACCCAGCCAGTGACCCCGCCCAAGCCCATGCATGTTGACTAAGCCAGTCTCTGCCTGTCAACTCACTGCATCCTGTCCCCACCCACCCAGCCTCTGGACCCCGCCTCAGACTTGCTCCCTCCTCATCCACTGCCTGTGTCTCCCCTCAGCTGCTGGCTGGTGTGGCGTCCAAGCTTAGGAGCCTTCTACATCCCGGTGGCTTTGATCCTGCTGATCACCTGGATCTATTTCCTGTGTGCAGGGCTGCATCTGAGGGGTCCTCTGGCACAGAGCTCCAAGGGGGTCACGAGCAGGGGTTCCCTGGACCAAGGGGAGGAGCTGAGGGGTTCCACCAGGCTCAGGAGCAGCGGCCCCCTCCTGAGTGACTCGGGTTCCCTTCTGGCCACTGGGAGCGCAGGGGTGGTGACGCCCGGACCCCCAGAGGACGGGGACGGCCTCTATTCTCCAGGAGTCCAGCTGGGCGCGCTGGTGACCACACATTTCCTGTACCTGGCCATGTGGGCCTGCGGGGCTCTGGCCGTGTCCCAGCGCTGGCTGCCCCGGGTGGTGTGCAGCTGCCTGTACGGGGTGGCGGCCTCGGCCCTGGGCCTCTTCGTCTTCACCCACCACTGTGCCAGGCGCAGGGACGTGCGGGCCTCCTGGCGCGCCTGCTGCCCCCCTGCCTCGGCCTCGCGCGCCTCGCCCCAAGCTGTGTCCGCGGCCCCAGAGGACGGTTCCCCCGTGTTCGGAGAGGGGCCCCCTTCCCTGAAGTCATCCCCGGGCGGTAGCAGCGGCCACGCGCCGGCCCCGGGCCCCTGCAAGCTCACCAACCTGCAGCTGGCCCAGAGTCAGGCGTGCGAGGCGGGGGTGGCGGCCCGCGGGGAGGGGGAGCCAGAGCCCGTGGGCTCCCGCGGGAGCCTGGCCCCCCGTCACCCCAACAACCTGCCCCACGGGCGCCGAGTGCACAAGAGCCGGGCCAAGGGGCACCGCGCAGGGGATCCGGGCGGCAAGAACCGGCTCAAGGCGCTGCGCGGGGGCGCGGCGGCCGGGGCGCCCGAGCTGCTGTCCAGCGAGAGCGGCAGCCAGCACAACAGCCCGTCCGACAGCCACCCGGGCAGCAGCCGCCACAGCCCCGGCGCCGGCCTCCCGCCGGAGGGCGAGCCCGCGCTCACGCTGTCCGACGGCAGCGACACGAGCGCCGCGCCGCCCCCGGAGGCGGGCCGGCCGGGCCAGCGCCGCAGCGCCAGCCGCGACAACCTCAAGGGCGCGCTGGAGAAGGAGAGCCAGCGCCGCTCCTACCCGCTCAACACGGCCAGCCTGAACGGCGCCCCCAAGGGCGGCAAGTACGAGGACATCACCCTGGCGGGCGCCGAGGCGGCGGGGGGCGGCTGCATGAAGACCGGCCTCTGGAAGAGCGAGACCACCGTCTAGGTGGGCGGGTGGCACTTTAGGGCAGGCTGGCCGCCCGGACTGGTTTTCCTGGCTGCGCGGGCCCCTAAGGACGCCGATCGGTGCACCAGTCGGTGAAGTGCCGAGGGCTGCGCCGGGCTCACTAGCCTCCTCCGTCCTGAAGCTAAGGACAGCGGGCGCCTGCGCGGCTAAGAGGGCCGTGCCTCTGGGGTAGCGACAGGCAATCCCGGGGCCACTGGCAGGATACACTCTGTCCCAGCCCAGGCCAGTCTGTGCCATCCAGGGTAGGGAAGGTCCTGTCTGGATTGATGAGTACTGGGCGGACCAGCAAGCCCAGGTGGGCTCTTCCTAAGGTGCCCACATCTTGCCCACCCGCCTCTCTGGTGGTGTCAGCCCTACCTGGCAAACACAGACGGGGGCTTGGGAACAGTGTTCCCTCACCACCCTCCTCTGAAGCCGGCCTGTGCCTAGCTTCTAGGGCCTCTCCCCACCCAGTTTTTGGCTAAGTGGGGAGGCAGCCTAGATATGCCAGGTGGCCAGGACCCACTGGAGGTGACAAGGTGCTGCTTTTCAGACTATGCAGGAGGCGGAGGCGGGGCCGTGTGAAAGTCAGCCTGGGAGGTCAAGTAGGAGGGCAGGTGCACCATTAGGGAGGACGCCACCCCGTGAGTGTACACACACCACCAGCAGGGCTCGGGGTGGCACTTGGGGACAAAGCTGACCCCGCCTGGGGATAATCTGAGGGAGGAGAGAGAGAGCTTAGATCTGGGGCTGAAGTTTGCCAGGCCTTAAACCTAGTCCTACAAACAATGCCCTGAAGAGGGCTCCACCACAGGCTGCAAGTGGTGGTGAAGATGTACTTACCCGTCAACCACAAGACATGGGTCTCAGCCTCCCAACACTGGGGACTAAGGAAGATACTTCCCTCCTCCTTGAGGCCACATGGAAGAACCGTTCCAACCATTTGGCCTCTAGCCCCGTATTAGGGAGAAACTTCCAAAACAGCAGAAACATCTTCCTGCCACACAGAAGCCCAAGTCAAATCCCTCAGGGGGTGGGCAGGGTCCCTACAGTTCCCGGGGCCTTCACCTCCACTTTTAAACACCAGCACTATTTCCCCCCACCCCCCAACCTAAAAAGCAACCACCAGCCTTTTACTGCAGGACCCAGTGAAAGTGGAGGGAACCTGAAGCCTTGTGAAGAGCATCATGAAAAGGAGGCCTGGCCCAGGTCCCCTCCCAGTCCCATGTCACCCCAGCCTGATCACCAAGGTGAAAGAAGACATAGGGAGGAAAGGAAGCCCACACTCCGTGGGAGGATCCTGTTATTTATGCTTGCTGCACAGACCATATTAGACAGGAAAAAAGCTTTGTATTATTCTTCCACATATGCTGGCTGCTGTTTACATACCCTGCCAATGCCTTAGCACTGGAGAGCTTTTTGCAATACGCTGGGGAAAGGGGAGGGAGGGGATAAAAAGTGCCAAAGAAAACATGTTTTTAAAAGCTCGGGTTTTATACAATAGAATGTTTTCTAGCAGATGCCTCTTGTTTTAATATATTAAAATTTTGCAAAGCCCTTTGAGCTATAACCTTAGTCCACCCACGGTCCTTTTGTTATGAGGCAGAAGATCTCATGATACCATACACATTAACCCACCAATACCTAGGACACAGGGCCAAGAGTTGCCCAGTTCCTGCCCTGAGGGCTGGTACCATGGAAATGCCAACTGCTCCTCACCAGTAGCAAGGCCCCATGAGCGCGTTCAGTTTATCCAGTTCAGACCAGGAGCAGAAGAGAGCCCAACATCTAAGAGGAAAGCCACCCCACAGAATGTGAACATATGCAACCTGCTCTCTGGCACTAAAGGATGGGACTCTCTCCAACCCAGGGGTTCCTACAGTCGTTCTCATTTCTACTCCAGGACCTGGGCTCTGAGCTGCAGAGACAATACCTAAGGGCTTGTACACATTTATTTCTCTGGACATGACAGGTCTATTATCAAGCTGCTGTCAGAATGACGTGACCCCTGCCCCACCAAACCCACCAAGTGCATCAGGGGGGGTTAGGATTACTTGTGGCAGCTTGTCCAGCAGCTTGGGCTCTCAGAAAGTCCCGCACTTCCTGAGGGGTCCGCAAATACTGCTCTATTTCACTATCGGAAATGTTCTCATCTCCGGTGACCGTGGAGGCAGGGGGGGCGGGGCAGACCCGCTTTGGGGGCTTCAACATGCAGGGTGGGAGGAGAAGGGCAGGACTAGCTGGCCGCTTCCCCTCAGGTAACTCGGAGGCGCTATTCCCCACTTCCTCTTTTCCCTGTCCTTGCCCCGGTCCCCGTCCCTGCAGCTCCTTCTCCAGGGCCTCCACCTCTAATGTCCCTTCTCGAAAGGCTTTGCGGATCAAAGTGTGGCGGTGCTGCAGCAGGTCACTGATGTGCTTCACCACAGACCGTTTGTCCAGTTTCAGTACCTGCAGCCAGGCCAGCTGCTCAGCCATCCGCAGCAGCACAGCCAGCAGCTCCTGTAGCCGGGAGGAAGCGGGGTAGGGCAGGTCCACATTTGCCAATTTACAAAATCGGGCCAGGGAACATGTCAGACGAGCTGAGGGCTGCAGCGACTGCCAAGCCAGGAAAGCAGCAGCAGTGATGACAGGCAAGGGATGCCGCCCGGTCACCAGCCATGTCTCATCCGCCAGCTCCACCAACTGCAGTGTTCGCGACAGCATCTTCTCTTTGTCTTCCATGTATTTGGCTGGCAGCGATGGGGAGGCTTGGAAAAGTTTGAAGCTGAAATAACCAAAATGAAGGTCTTGTCTCAATGCCTATGGGGAAGAGCAGTCTGGCTCAGGATGGGCAAGGTCTTCTAGCCTCTTGGGAACACTCAAGCTTGCTGGCAGCAAGTTTCATACAGGGACTGAGAGAAGATCGGGTGAGTTTTCTGCTTGTGAGGTGAAGGGCAGGAGAATGCAGAAGGGAGCTAACGTGTGTTGAGCAACCCCCGTCAGTCATTATTCTGAGTGCTTTACAAGTGTTCTTTTACCTTCTCTACACCTTGTTATGTGCATTTATAGTTGCAAAACTTGCCCCCAGTATTCAGGTAGGAAGTAACCAAGCTGACACTGATAACCTTTGCGTTCTACTCTATTTCTCAGGAGAGAAATTAACACAGCTACTTTAAAAAAAAAAAAATTAGCTTCTATCTACAGCTCTGTTGTCTCCTAATATTCCTTCAGCTCCATTCCCAATTGATCCACACAGGCCACACACGTGAGTGGTGAAACTCAGGAGCCCTGTGCCAAGGCTAATACCTACTTTCTTACATCAGTAGGTTGCTGTGAGGGCAAAAAGATTTGAAATTATAGCATTCTAGAAATGTAAAATGGGATTAGTACAGGCACAGGAGAGGGAGAACAGATTTTTCTCCCACATCTTTTTAGATGGGCTTTGGTCAGAAAGAGACAGCCAAAGGTAAAAGGATTCAGGTCTAAGGACCCATCCCATCCCATCCCATCCCCACAACTCCCACTAGGCAGGTACCTGCTACAGTAGGTCTTCACCAGGTCTGCCAAGCACAGAGATGGCACATCCAGCCCCAGGAGCTTCACTATCTGCATGTAGGTGCCAGAAAACATATCCAAATCTGCGTACAACAGGGTGCAGATGGTCCCCATGGTCAGGGGCCAGTTATGCTGCCTACAGGTGATTAAGACACAGCACCCAACCAACACCTCCTTCTTTTGCAGCCTGGCAGCACGGATGCCAGGGTGCTGGTATGCCTTTTGGTAGTAGGCAACTGCTGTGTCCTCAAATGTTGATGGCAACTGCAGAACTCGACAGAGATCTCTCACTCGGCGGAGACCTAGGAAAACCCACAAGAGTTAGAGAGGTCAAAGGAGCTACTGTGTAGCGCCGAGCAATTTCTGCTAAACTTGCCTCTGATACAAGATGCACTACTATAGCCCTGGATGGTGTCACTCAGTTGGTTGGAGCATCATCCTGTAAACCGCAAGGTTATGGGTTCGATTCCCAACCAGGGCACATGCAGAGGCAACCGATCAATCTTTCTCTCTCTCTCTTGCTTTCCTTCCCTTCTCTCTCTCTCTCTCTCTCTCTCTCTCACTCACACACACACCACACACACACACACACACACACACACACACACAGTAGTATCTTTTTACGATGACAGGAACGACATCTGGTAAAGTTTCCTAAGGCACAAAGAAATTCGTGGAAAGAAGTCACATTTTAGCCCACCATTTTTTTGGAGGCTGGTTTGATTCAGGGCCAAGCCGAAGTTTGATCTGGATTCCTTGCATCGACCTCAAACATATCCCTGAGCAAATCCCAAACTTACACGGATTTGCTACCTCTCCGAGAACCACCCCCATCCTTTGTTGCAAATCACCATTTCCTTCTACTCTGCCTTACATGATAAGAGTTGAAATCAGGAAAAGCAAGCACATGGGCTGGACCATCAGGAGAATTTTCTTGAAAGCCACTGTGTCATACAAGGTCTGTCCTCACCTCGCTGCTGACTGCGAGTAACTTGTTCATTTTCCCCTGTGCTCCGGGAATACGCTACTTCTGTGAAAAACAAAACAAAACAGGGTTAGCCTTATTCACCAGACCCCTGCCCTCCTACCACACAGAGCCAGGGAGCAGAATGCCAATCACCAGGCATCTGCTGCCTGTCTCACAGAAGGTGCCCATCTGTGCATATTAAAGGCCCATCTGGCCGAAACCGGTTTGGCTCAGTGGATAGAGCGTCGGCCTGCGGACTGAAAGGTCCCAGGTTCGATTCCGGTCAAGGGCATGTACCTGGGTTGCAGGCATATCCCCAGTAGGAGATGTGCAGGAGGCAGCTGATCGATGTTTCTCTCTCATCGATGTTTCTAACTCTCTATTTCTCTCCCTTCCTCTCTGTAAAAAATCAATAAAATATATTTAAAAAAAAAAAAAAAGAATAAAGGCCCATCTGGTTTCCTATGCCCACAGCACTATCACATCCACAGAGACTGAGGAAGATCAGGGCTACACTAAGGCAGTTCCAAGTGTTGGGACATTTCAGTACCCGACCCACCCTCCCATACATCCAATCCAGACCGTTTCCTGGCTGCAGATTTTGAGAACTGCCCTGCTCAGGAACTTGGAAAGCAAAGGAAGCAAAAGACGTTTTCCCGGTTAGTACTAAAAACTACTTCAGGGTAATGATATGTGCTGTATTCGTAAAGAGATGACCCACAATATTCCCGCCACGACCAGCCCGGGTAAAGTGAGCAGAGCCTTGTTTCTCTTTGTTTCATTTACTGAACGTTTATGCCTGTCCGATACTGTCCTAGATGCTAGAAAAACACAGTGAAAGGCAGTCCCTAACCTTTCGAAGCTCAGTCCTACACTACAGGTCGTTTTCTCTCGTACTTAAAGGCGTAAGAGAAAAAGAGTGGACGGGAGCTAAAAGGAATCGGGTGTCAGTCCTTCCACCGCCCCGGGCTGCACCCACGGCTCGAGATGGCAAGGACGGCACGGCTACCTCGGAGGTTGCCCTCGTCGCTGAAGGTGGTGGTGAGCACGCCCTCGGTGACCACACAGCCGCAGTCCGAGCACACCAGCTGGCTCTGCGAATAGTGCGCGTCTTCCACCAGCTCAGTGGAGCCGCAGTCGGGGCAGCGGCCTCCGCCCGGCATCTCACAACCTGCCCAGCGCCGCAGAAGCTTTCTGATACCCAACAACAGCCACCGTGCGGAAGCGGCAACTAACAGGGGAACTTCCTAAGGAATGCACCTTCCTCTTCCGGTCAGCGCGGCAGCATTAACGGTAGTTCTCTTGGCTCTGCGACTGCACGCCACTTCCGGTCCGTTCCTTTGTGGAGTCGGGTGGAAACGGAAGCAAGGAGAGAAGGTTCCTGGTGTGGACTGGGTCGTTGGGTTCCCAGCTATCAGCAGTTGGTTTGAGGCAAGTCAGACAGGGCTTGAATTTGGGTGAACGTTCTGCCTACAAGAACATACATAACAAACGAGAAATTGTTGCTATCCTCAAACAAGTCTCCCTTCTAAAGTGCCAGGGGAATCTTGGATTCTCCATTCTCTCTCTCTCTCTCTCTCTCTCTCTCTCTCTCCCTCTCTCTTTAAATCCTTACCTGAATATTTTTAGAGAGGGTAAAGAGAGAGGGAAGGAACGTGACAAACATCAATGTGAGAGAAACACATTGATTGGTTGCCTCCTGCATGCACCCTGACCAGGGCCTGGGCCAGGGAGGAGCCTGCAACCCAACCAAGGTATGTGCCCTTGACCGGAATTGAACCTGGGACCCTTCAGTCCACAGGATGACACTCTATCCAGTGAGTCAAACCGGGTTCCATTTCTCTTTGGTAACAAATGTTGATTTTGGCCGTAGAACAAAGTGCCTAAAAGGGAGAGTAGTGTAGTGAGAGAGAAGGAAATTGTGTTCTGTGTTCTAGAGTGGCTTTCCCAAGCAAGTTGTTGTTCCTCTTTGCAGTCTGTTTGTGTCAACTGTAGAATGAGGGAGTAGAATTAAAATCCAGAGTGGCAAGGCAAGGCTAGGCAAGGAATGTCTCAGGGAGTTGGAGTGAAAGAATATGGAGAAGTGTGGACTTTGACAAACTGAAGAGTTCAAGAAAATTCAGATGTTTTTAAAAGTTTGAGCTAAGTTTGAGCTTTAAGTGTGGCCAGTGTTGCTCAGTGGTTTGAGGTCCTATGCACCGAAGGGTCACTGGTTCCATTCCCAGTCAGGGCCGTCAGGACACATACCAGGTTATGGGTTTGATTCCAGTCAGGACACATGTAGGAGGCAACCAATTAATGTTTGTTTGTTTTTCTCTCTCTCTCCCTCTCATTTCCTCTCTCTCTGGAATCAATGAGGGAAAAGGGGAAGGAACATACCTCAAGTAAGGGCTTGTGTTGTTTTTTTTTAAAGCTTGAGCTTTAAGATTCTTCAAGATTCTGGCTCCGAAATTCTTAGCTTGGTATAGTATAGATCAGCGAATTCCAACCTTTTTTTTTTATCTCGTGGCACACAAAGTAATTACTAAAATTCTGCAGCACACCCAAAAGTAGATTGTAATTTTTGCCAATCTGACCAAAAAAAAATGTAATTTTGATTCTTTCACACTGGACAGCTATTGTGTTGGCTGTTGTCATTTTTTAATTTGACAATCTAAGGGCAAAGAAGTCAGTGCCCCTCACTAAATAGTCAGGTATTGCTCACAACTGGCACACTGGTTGAAAAACTGCTGGTATAGATCAAAGAATCTTGAACAAAATTTTCTTATAATAAATATTAATTGCACTCTAAGAATGACTATTTTAATGCTTGGAAGTTTTAGAACCGGTTGTGTCTGAAAAATAAGAAAGTTGAATCAAATGACAAGTACAGCCAGGGCCTGTCCTAATGACTCCAAAAAAGTAGATGGGAGCCACCATAACAAGTGTGGAGTATTTCTTTTTCTCAGGCTAACAATGGAGAGTTTCAGGGAGGCCTCTGGCAATAGTACATTTGAGAAGCTGTTGTGGGCTCAATTTCAACCTTGCAGAATGAACTCATCCCTTCCCACTGAGAACAGAAATCACTGAATGGCTCCTGTGCAGAATGAATTAAAAGGTAAGGGTGTCTTGTCAGCCCCTTAACAAATAAGGGATACTCCCTTGAGGAATGAGATACAGATTACTGCAGCCTTCTTTAGAAGATTAATAAATGATTATGCATCCTAGAGCTGAAATTTTTCCAAAGAAAAATGGTGCCTCTTAGTCTGAAGAGTCAAATCTACACAATGACATGTATCCAGTGAGTCCTCATACAGAGTATTTGAGCCTCAAGAATGAGATTTCATCAGACAGAACTATAGGTTCTTTTGAAAAAAGCTATAATCAATGTCAGATATATAAAGCTTCCTCTATGCCCAATGAAACTGTGAGTTCCCTGGACTGCAATGCAGAGCAAGGGTATATATGACAAAAAATATTGCATGTTGTCTGTAATCCAAGCATTAGCCTTGGGCATTCCAAATCCATCCCCTCTCCTAGACTTCCCCACTAGTGTGATGTATGTAATGAGGATTTATTTCTGGTTGTCCAGCAGATAGATATTGAGACACACTTGCATGCTCATGTGCACACACACATCTCAGAATTTCTGAATTTGTTTTAGACAGCACAGTTGACATTCTTACTGAGGAGGGAAACATGTCCCTAAAAATAACATAATTGGCATTGAGAGTAGCTCTTTACATTATCATACAAGACCAGCATAAGACTCCTCTCAACCCTAATTTTGTGGAGATCTTGAACATAACTGCATTTTTTAGGAGTGGGGTTTTATTACAATCATGTACCCATGACAGAAGTTTTAAAATTCTACTTTCCCCCACATGACACATAGTAAAGTGGAAAGAGCTGTTTTATGATCCTCCAACCAGCAACTGTAAGGGGTGGAGGGGTGATTCTCTTTCCAGTCGCAAGTGTGTGAGAGCATAGAAGAGCCTGGGCCTCACACACTAACAGGCTGGGAGGTGGGCGGGACCAGGCCAGAAGATGGCGCACTCTACTAAGACGTATAAGTCTGGGATTCTGCACTTTCCCAAGAAGAAATCGATTTATTTAAGAAATGTATTTGCCTTCCTCTGGGAAATCAGGACAGATATGTCACCCTTGGTGCCCTTCCCACGGCTACCAATACGCCTAAGAGTTACCATCATTCAATGAGAGTAATTGTCTGTTTAACAGATGTTCCTCAAACCCTTCTCCCCCGCCCCCCATCTGTGAAACTGGAGCCATGTTTCTTATCTCTGAATCACCAGTGCTCACATGGTACCTGACACACAGGCTCTTAGAATGCTGAATGCCCAGAACGGGCTGGACTTGAGCAGGAAGCTACTGTGGAGGGGAGGCTGTTGGAAAGGCCAACCCAGCCACGGTTCAGGTGGGAAATACTGACCTTTGGCCAGAGCTCTTCCTAGAGAGGAGACCAAAGAGGAAGGCACTGATGGTGTGGGACCCGGAGGAAGCTCTCCACCAGTCAGTCCTCCCTCGGTGAGAGGTGTGCATTCTACATTCTAGTTAGTTGTTTACCTGTCGGACTTTCCTTTTGGTTGCAAGTCTCTGAGGAAATGATCTGGCTTTTTCATCCCTGTGTCCTGGGAACACCTCCTAGAGCGAGGGCTGGCACTCAGTTAAGAGCTGTTCAACTCCTGTCAGGAGCCACACATAGACTTTCTCAGAGGCAGGATCGTTCCAATCCAGAGCAAGTAACCAGGGGGGTTGGGCAGCCTCACCCCTGGGCTCCTCCCAGCTCAGTTGACTGAAATGTCACTCCATACCAGTTTCACTCTGAGCCCCGAGGACGCTCTCTTCTCTCTCCCACTAAGCCTGGCAGTGGCGCAGGCCTGCGATCCTTTCTTTCCCTTTCCACCACCTCGGCTCTGCAGTGGACAGTCACTCTTCTCCAGCACTCACAGGGGACAGCCACAGCACACAGCGTGGCCAGGATTTCCTAGATCCTGGCACCAAATAACTTTCCTCACTCATATTCACTTTTCCTTTTTGCATTATTTATTCTGTGACTCCAAGACACTTCCCTCTCCTGGGATGAAGATTAATGATTTCAATTTCTCAAACTCCTAAGAACACAGGCATCTGATAACTCTAAGGAGGTGGACACAGGCCCACATCGCTGCACAGACTGAGAGCACGGACATCAGTCACCTTACCTGGAACTGCCCTCCTCAAGGAGCCTGTCTGTGGCCTCATCTGGCCTCATCCATATGGTCTCCATTATCTCTGCCTGCTCCAACCCTCCAGGATTCCAAGTGAATCTGAACATTATCTCCTTGGCTCCACAGTGATCCTAGACTAGGGGTCAGGAAACTTTCTATAAAGAGCCAACTAGAAAATATTTAGGTTTGGCAGACGATAAAGTCTCTGTTGCAAGAACTCTAGGCTGTTGTTGTAACGTGGAAATGGTCATAGACAAGGATGTAAACAAATAAGCATGACTGTATGCCAATAAAACTGTGGACACTGAAATTTGAATTCCTTGTAATTTTCATGTAGCTTCATTTTAATTTTTTACAATCATTTTAAAAAAATATAAAAATACCCAGCCTTGTGTTGTTGACTGTGGTTATGATTCTGAGTATTAGATCTCTAGTTATTATTTAAGTTGAGGGGAAAAAAAAGTAAAAATCATTCTTGGCTTGATGGCTGTACAAAAACAGGAAACAGGCCATATTTGCTGCCCCCTGTCCCACATCTCCAGGTCAGACACATGCGTCCCAGTTCTTTCTGAACTACTCCCTGTCTGACCCTTGGCAAACTAAAGTCCTGATGCCTCTCTAGGACTCATCCGCATAATGGAGATCTTATCTTCCTTGATGAGAATTAGAAACAGCAGCGTCAGTGCCTGGGGAACAGTAGGAACTCAGTACACGGGCCTTCCTTTTGCAGTCAAGTTTCAGCCTAAAGTGAGCATTTGATATGCAAGGACAGAAGCAGCTTTCTCTCCCTCTGTGAGAGCCTATCACTGTCACCAAGGTGCCTATTTCCAGGGCTCAGGATACACGTGCCCGTGTGAAATAGCTGAATGTAAAAAGGCTAAGTGAGGACATTCTCCCTCAGGAGACTTTGTGGCTTTGAGATATGCTGGCCCCACAGGGCTCAAGGAAGCCAATTTTGAACGTGGAGTGACAGCTCCTGTCCTCCCAGCAGGGGGAAGACTGTGGATCGCAAAAGATGTTAACTGATGCGAAGCCTCAGGCATGGGATCCATTTGCTTAGAGACTAGGTTCCAGGGCTAAGGGAGCCCATGCTGCTGACGCCTTGGCTAAGGTTCAAGAGTGGTAACAACACCCTGTAAGTGACAGTTTTCCATGAGGGCGGGGGACAGGGTGCCCACCACCACCACCACCCTCCCACCCTCCTCCCCAGCAAATCCTCATTCTGGTTCACAGGGGGCTGTGATGATGAGCTGAGCAGGAAGTGATGCGGAAGTGACCTACATCATCTTTGCAGTTGCTGCAGCTCTTCTGTGGTGAGGGTGGTTAGCTGGACCTATTCTCCCCCGAATCACTATCGGTCCCTGTTGCAGATTATCTAAAGGCATGCAGAAATGTTCTGAGCAGTCTGTACTGTGTGTTCTCATTGTGAACAAAAGGGGCCACATGCTGACCTGACAAGCTCAGGGGAGACCTGCATGCAGTCTTGCAAACTCAGAGACCTAAAGTAACCACAAAGGATGGTCTGAAATTAAACTTTAACTAAAAGCAGTTATGGTGGGCAATTCCGTCCTAGGCCAGTATCTTCACTGACAAGGTCAACCTTTACCTTAACTGAGCCTATCTGTCTTTTTGCATCTATAACATACCCTTGAAATGTCTGGGTAACTTGTAACTTCCCTTTTTCTGGAGCCCCTGGGGCACAACCAAATATGTTGGGCGCCAGGACAGATAACTACAAATTCCTTCATTATCATGTTAATTGTTCCTGCACCCACCTAAGTATGTGTCCATCATTTTACTTTTCCTCCAATCCCAGGGGTTTCCCTGCTTCGATTTATCCCTCCTCCTTAATCTATCACCAATGAATTTCATGTAACCCACCTATGTCCCTCCTTTGATTGCAATGTATAAATACAAATGTGACCCCGCCATTCTCCGGAGCATTATCTCAATTCGTTGAGGTTCTGCTTCCGGGCATATGTCGACAGTTTGGCTCAAATAAACTCACAAAAATTCTTTACAGGTTTCAAAGGTTTTTTTACGTTAACATTACCTTCATTTAAAAATGTACCTATTTGTATGAGGGGAAAATGCTGGACAGCAAATCAAAATAACAGTGTTACCTCTTGGGAGGTAATTTAGGATTTCTCTCTCCCCGCTCCAACCCCCCAAGAATGAGCAGGTATAGCATTAGAGAAATCTACAGACCAAGGGGGTGGCTAGGGGTGGATGTGCTTAGTGATCAGTGGGAACTCAGTAAATGGGCCTTCCCTTTGCAGTCAAGGTTTAGCCTGAAGTGAGCTCTTGATATGCAAGGACAGAAGCAGCTTTCTCTCCCTCTGTGAGAGCCTATGGTCCCTGCAGCGGGCCAAGATGTGGGGTGTGTCATAGAGAAGGGATCAGAGATGTCCCATTCTCTGGAGTAGAAAGGGCATTGGGACCCCTGGGCACCAGGCAAGGTAGCTGCAGTAGGAATCCAGGTGAGAGATTCTCAGAGGGTGAGAAACACTGGTCACCCCCAAGGGAAGTTGGCCAGGAAGACAAGAAATTTTTATTGTGCCCCTACTAAACTACAGACACAAAATCTTTAACAGGTAGTACCATTTTATTTAGTGTTGTAGGAAATTTTAGGTTACTTCTTACAAACAAAATCAGAAGATTCAAAATTCCCAAAGTAACAAAGCAGGAAATAACTCTATAATCCAAAAACACTGGACGATCCTTCAAGAGTCGGAGGGAGGAAGAGGTCAGGTTTGTAGCTCACATAACAGATACCGAGAAACCGCAGGGTTGAGGTTGGCATGGATACTAGGAGATTATGTTCTCCACCTAAGACAATTAATCTTTCAGCCTTGAGCGATTATTTATTTGTAGTTCTAAAAAAAGAAAAAAGAGTCAAGTGGGAGAGGGACCCAGTGAGGAAAGATCCTGCACAATTTAACATTAAATAGCCACTGGCCTTCAATACAGTATGTGGCTGAGTGTCATGGACCTTCCTCCCTTGATGCCCTTTTGAGCTCCCACTATTAGCAAAGCTGGAACCACACACATGTATCGCATTGGTTCATGCATATGTGCACACACCCTTCCACTCGGGTCAACAGCTGTTCCGCATGGCAAAGGGCACACTTTCTTGCTTCTCCAGTCTGCTACCCTGATGAGGTTAACATGCAGGGATAAAAGGGAAGGGCAGGACACCTGTCAAAGTCCAAGGAATGAGATGATATGAAACAACCAAGCAAAGAGTTGACATCTTATTCATGGGGCTGACCTCCAGCTGAAATTCATTGCAAGGTGTTTGCTTTTAATCAGATGCTTCCCTAAAGTACTGACTGTTCTTTCCGGAGGCAACTAGGCAAGGCCAAGAAGGCAGCTGCCCCTGCTGCTCCAGAGTACAGCCTCCTCCCGGGGCCTGTCAGGTAGGGTAGCATTCACAGCAGCTAGAGGCAGGTCCCAGTCCTGTAGAGATGGGCACAGGCCTTCAGACATGTGCCAGGTATCGGAGTCCAGCGCTCCAACTCACCACTGCCCTGCTAATGGCTCAGAGCAGGTTAAAGCTTTTCTTAGATAAATTCTCCCTCCAAGTAGAGTCCTCAAGGACAGTCATTAAAGAGTGACCTTCAGGCTATCTATTTTGGAGAGGGACAAGAATGCTATCAATTGAATTTTTCCCCCAGCAGTGGTAGAAACCAGACACCCTTGAAGTAAATTGTCCTTCATTCTCCAGATTTCCCAAGTGGCATATCAGAGCACAGGAATTCACTCCTCCACCCAGTGCCCCTCTCAAACACTGACCAAGATACATACTGAGGTCCTTGCAGCAACCTCCAAGCCAACCCCTCCTGAACAGTGCAGGTCTCCACACCAGACCTTCAGAAGAGAAACCATTCAGAACTCACCTGCCCCCCCGGGGGCACTTGGGTTATCACAGTCAAAACACATTTATATCAAGTAAAAAACATGTCATGGAACAAATATATACATGTACATTTTCAGAGTTCAAGTGGATATATAGTTCTCTTTGTAGGTATGTACATAAATGTCATAGCACTACAAAAATACAAGGCATCTGAGAAGTTTACAGTGGTCCCCAGTACTGTAGGAGAGTGTTAAATACAATAGCTATAGGTAGTTAAAAACTAATCAGATAAATCAAGTTACAGTATCATCCTTCAGATTAAAGTGCTCCAATATAACTAAGGTTGCAGCAGACATGACCCAGAAAGGAATTCTGCTGCCAGCAATCTTGCCTCTTAACCTCAATATAACAAGAACATGCGAAGAAGAGATTCCCAATTTAATACCGGCTAGAACTGCCACCCCTGCCAACCCCACTGGCCGGTGATACTCCTCCCCCAGGAGAGAGGTCAAGATTGGTGAGATTCCATCACAACCAGGAGGAAAAAATGAGTAATACGAAACATTCTAATTGCAATATTAGGTTACTAACAATGATATTACCTGAAGAATTTGAACTGATACTATTCATTAAGATTAAGAGCCCTAGCTGGTTTGGCTCAGTGGCTAGAGCAACAGCCTGAAGACTGAAGGGTCCCAGGTTCGATTCCAGTCAAGGGCACGTACCTCAGTTGCAGGTTTCCCGGCCCTGGTCGGGGTGTGTGCAGGAGGCAACCAATCCATGTATCTCTCTCACATCGATGTTTCTCTTTCTCTCTCTCTCTCTCTCTCTCTCTCTCTCTCTCTCTCTCTCTCTCTCTCTCTCCCCCCCCCCCCCTTCTACTCTCTGTCTAAAAAAAAAAAAAAAAAAAAATCAATGGAAAAATATCCTCAGGTGAGGATTAACAACAACAACAGAAAAAGATTAATAATACCGACCAAGTGTCCTAATGTTTAAAAATATGTGTGTTAATCTAGCTTTAAAAATAAGCAACTCCAAAATAAGTATCATTTTCTTGCTCTTTACCATTTTATAACAAGGGGGCAAATGCCAGGAAGAATGGCCAGGGAAAGCAGGGAGCCGAGGCACAGGAGGAAAGGCCACAGGAATCCTACTAGAACCATCCCGTACCTGGTGGAACTGTTTTAGGAAGCCTGGGTCACCCAATCCCTTACAAGGCCCTGAACTAGGCCAATCCAGCCAGCAGGAACCCTGCTATTATGGGAGGAGGGACTTGCACCAGCTCCCCCTGAGTGAGTGCCAAGTGACTCTCCCAGTCCCCTGTTCTACTTCTCAAGAGCACATTTTAAGGCTAGAGAGTAATGGAAGTGTGTTTAGAAAAGGCAACTTGTTACAAACCCGAAAGGCACACTCAGGGCTTTCCCTAAACTCCTCTGCTCTGGTCAAAGCAGGACCAAGTCTAAGAAGCGCAGGAGGCTGATGTGGTATCAAAATTTAACCTCTGCAGCCGAACAGACACACCTGAGCTACTCAAAAGCCAAGAAAGTATGTGTAACGCAGCACCTTCTCATTTCACCCCGAGCGTTAATGGCTGGGGGACACGTATTTTAGAATCTCAGTGTCAAAGAAAGGAAACCCCATGTTAAAATACATTAGTACCCCTGGAGCCACTTGACTCTCTGGGCCAGGATCAGATCTTATGACCATGTTTTTCAAGGCATAAAATATTCACAACATAAGGCACAGTGGCATTTAAAAATAAAACCCTGGGAACGTACAGTAAAGGACTCATTGTAATAAGTAACCTGGCTTCAACTGGCAGAACTGACTCTTGCCAGATAACATGCAAGGGAGATAGGTGGCGACTTGGAGCCTTAGGCTGGGTTATCAGGCACATGGAGTCCTTGACCTCAGGAGGAAGTGGAAAGAAACTCACAAAAAAGTCTCAGTGTCACAGGCTGGCCATTCACATCTTCCCTGCCTTCTTGCCGACCTGAGCCGGAACGCGGAGGATGTTGGGGGTTTCTTCCATGACCCTGACGAGCAGGTTGTCGATGTAGTCCTCCAGCTCCCGAACCTGGAACTCCTTCTTGTTTATTGTTTCCTTCTGTTTGAGGACCAGCTGGATCAGCTCATCATGGGTGAGCTGTGCATAAGCAAAAGCAGGGTCCGAGGGGGTGTATTTCTTTGGAGAGGAAAGAAGAGGGGAAAAAACGTAAAGTCAGCAAAGAAGTCTAAATAGCTAAAAGAAATACAAAAGAGGGGTTCAATGACCATAACCAGAGGTCAGCGTTCAGAGAGGTACAATGTGCTCTAGGACCTGGACAAACAGGAAACACTGCTATGCAGGTGATTGGACACACTTCAAAGATGGAGTGACATCTGAACCAGACCTTGGAGATGAATTATCATTAATTTCCTCCCCCAAATGACAGGATTTTGTTTTTAATTATAAAAGGAATATCTGTTCATCATGGAGTGGGGGGAAAATATTACCTATAACTCCAACGCATAACGTTTGGGTCTCTTTCTTATTTTTCTTTCTTTTTTCCCCCCAAATATATTTTTATTGATTTCAGAGAGGAAGGGAGAGGGAGAGATAGAAATATCAGTGATGAGAGAGAATCATGGATCAGCTACCCCTACACGCCCCCTACTGGGGACCAAGCACCCCACCCAGGCATGTGCCCTAACCAGGAATTGAACCTTGACCTCCTGGTTCATAGGTCGACACTTAACCACTCGCCACGCTGGTCAGGCCCTGGTCCTTTTGATGAAGTGGAAAAGAACCAAATTCTAACTCTGTATTAGCTTACTTTTGATCTTTAAAATTATTTCCTTAATTAAGTTTATTATTCAGGAAAGTGCATGCGGGACCTTCATTCTGAGGGGTTTTAAAGACTGGGCATTTTCAGGATGCCTTAGGGGAGGGTCGCAATAGAATTCTCTTTCTTATTTTTCCTTGGTTTCTTTATGGTGTGCTTTACAATTTTAACATCATACAGGATATAGTGTTGTGGGGTTTTTTTAAAATATATTTTTATTGATTTCAGAGAGGAAGGGCAAAGAAGAGATAGAAACATCAATGATGAAAGAGAATCATTGATTGGCTGCCTCTTGCATGCCCCCTACTGGGGATTGAGCCTGCAACCCGGGCATTTGCCCTTGACAGGAATCGAACCCAGGACCTTTCAGTCCCCAGGCCAATGCTCTATCCACTAAGCCAAACCAGCTAGAGCCAGGATATAGTTTTATAGCTTCTTTAAATTGTTATTTTGTGAGCCTTTGCCCATCATTAGATTTTAGCAAAAATTGCTTTTTTTAATAGATGCTTAAAATTCCATCATATTTTAACCATCTCTCTCCCTGAGTATTTAGGTTGTTTTCAATTTTCACAATTATATAATAACATTTTAATTAAAATGTATTAACATAAATCTTCGGTTACATCTCCAAATATTTCCTTAATAAAAATGTGTATAATTAAAAAGGCATGCACACGTAAGGTGTTTCATACAAACTGCCAAACAGTTATTCAATTTAAATTCTGTGTTCCAAACGGATACAGGACTTTGAAGTCATTAGAAGATTCTACGACTGTGATGACTTAAAAAAACTATAGAACAATTCAGCATTTCAGAAGGTGAGCATTGGCCACGAAGAGGAAGCGGTGCAAGAAAATACCCCTTAACTCAAGAAACAACAGTGCCCGCTGTCACACATTTCCTCTCAGGGTCTTACACTGGACTTTCCCGCACAGTTGCAATAATAATGATGTGTATTCAAATTGTGTCCAACTTTTTCCATACGACAGGACAGATGATTTTTGAGTGTAGTTGGCTGTATTATTTTTAAATGGAAGTGTCAAAGCCACCTGAGTAAATAATACACGCCCAGGCATAAATCATCTATAAAGGATGGAGGCCCCATGAAAAATACCTTCCCCCCAATCCATTCTAGTAATGATTCAGCTAGCCTTTCATAACTTTAGCTATGCAATTTCTTTCCCTAACCTCTCTCTTACCTTGCAACATTCCAAAGAGTAGTTCTTTTTATAAGTATTGTTCATGCGTTAGCACAAAGCATCCATTATATGGCCAGCCAACGGCAGTCTCTAGGAAACTTTCCATATTGACTCGACTATTTACTAGGTATGGTCCAGGACTAAGTGCTTTGCTGCGGGCAGAGGGACAGCAGTGGGGCTTACAAATCACGAGCAAGCCAAGCAGTAGCTGCCTTTGTTTTAAGGCAAGTTATTCTCTCTGCCAGGGCCAGGAGATAAGCCCCTGGTTAAACAAGCTTTGAAGAGTAAATAAAATGAGAGCCAAGGGTCTTTCTTGCTAACTTCCTGAAAGCTAGGTGTTGTTTCTCTTTGGAGCCAAGCTGCATTCCACAGTAAAAGGAAGAGGGGATGGGAGGCCACTACATGACTCTAGTTCTCATGTCCCTTTTATGCTGTTCTTTTGCCCCGTTTCCTGGTAAATATTGTTAACTCCAGGAAGACAAGTGCTGCCTCTTCCACACAAGCACAGAACCCAGCCAAGCTGAGCTGCTCAAGTTATGGTACATTTTTAGGCTGGGGCTAAAACATCGTAGGTAGGTACACAGTTCTGGCTGCAGCTGGTAATTTCAAGAGAAGGCAAGATGGCTAGAAGATGCTGACTTGTTTTCAGTCACAATTCATTATTACCACTCAGCCTCTTGGCCTGAAACTCAGCTCTCCAGCCTCAGTGAGCCTTTAGCCCAGCTCCTGGTGGCGTAGGTACCCAGCACTTTAAAAATGTTTGCAGGAGGGAAGGAGTCATGAGCAAAAAAAAGTTTTATTTAAAAAAAAGAAAACTGCATTGGACAGTTTGCTTAGTGGTTAGTGTTGGCCCGTGGACGGGATTCAGGGTTCCATTCCCAGTCAAGAGCACATATCTCAGTTGCAAGTTCACTCCCAGGCCTCAGTTGGGGTGAGAGTGGGAGGCAACCAATCAATGTGCCTCTCTCACATCGATGTTTCTTTCTCTCTCTCCCTCCCTTCCTCCCTCCCTCCCTCCCTCTCATCTTCTCTCTCTCTCTTCCTCCCTTTCACTCTCTCTAAAAATCAATGGAGAAAATATCCTTGGGTGAGGATGAACAAATAAACTTTATTTTTACCAACTACAGTCCCCAGTAGTCATTTAGGAAATTCCTCTCCACATATTTGAAACACAACACATCCTTGCCCACTAATGGTCACCAATCACTCAGTATATCATTCTCCTCCGGTCCATGTGATAATGAGTCAAAGACCAGGGTCTGCAACAAGGCCGATTCTAAATCATTCTGATTTCAGAACCAGGAAGGGCAGGATGAGGACACTCAAAGCAGAAATCACCTGTGAGGTTGATTTTGTTTTTGTAGGGAGTTTATTTTTTGTTGTGTGGTGGTTGTTGTTTAATGTTAGCCTAAGCTTTTCAACGAGAAGAAACCCTCTAATCCAGCAATATTTTTCATGGATATTGAGCTTAAGGAAATAATCTAACAGGAGGGAAAAAGTTCTATGCAAGAAATTGTTGACTGTAGTGTTATTCATCTTGCAAAACAGAAAACATAATGTTGTACACTTGAAATTTATGTAATGTTATTAACCAATGTTACTTTAATAAATTTAATTTTTAAAAAAGAAAACAATCTGAGTATCCGACAATAGGGAAATGGTTAAGTGAATAATGGTATATAACCATTTCAAGAATAATTAAGTAGCAACATGCAAAAAAGGTTATGATATATTATTAAGTGAAAAAGAATTGAAGAAGTGTTACTATGCAGGTGATGGAGCTGGAAATACCATCATTTTGCAACTGCTATATTCATCAGCGGACACTAAAGCCTATGAATCAAAAGTTGATGAGGAACAGGATGTTTACATAGTCCGAAATTAATTCCCCACAAATTTCTTATTAATTGTAAAGGGAAAAATAGCAACTTTATACTGGAGAACCTAGGGCAGTGATGGAAGACCTTTTGAACTCGGCGTGTCAGCATTTTGAAAAACCCTAACTTAACTCTGGTGCCGTGTCACATATAGAAATTTTTTGATATTTGCAACCATAGTAAAACAAAGATTTATATTTTTGATATTTATTTTATATATTTAAATGCCCTTTAACAAAGAAAAATCAACAAAAAAATGAGTTCGCGTGTCATAGGTTCGCCATCACTGACCTAGGGGGACACCACCAAACTAAGTCATCAGAGTTAACACTCCCACTCCTGGTACAAACTGATATAATGTGCCTCTTCATACAATGCACTAAGAAGGACACGTTATTTCCATAGTTAACTCCTGCCAAGAATGTATAACCTCAACCAAACCATGAGGAAATCCCTTGCAAATCTTAACTAAGTCAAATTCTACATAATGAGTGACCCTGGATTGGATCCTGGACTACAGGAAAAATTACCCTAAAAAGGACATTACTGGGACAATTGGTGAAATTGAAATATAGACTATATAAATGAAAAAAGAGTATCACGTTAATGTTAAATTTCTTGATTTTGATCAATGTCCTTATTCTCAGGAATTCCACACTTAAGTATTTAGGGTAAGAGAAGTGTGATATAAGCAACTTAATCTCAAATGACTTGGGGGCGGGGGGTGGAATGAGTATACAAACAGAGAATAAAGAGGGGGTGGGGGAAACGAAAAAGCAAATCTGGTAAAATGTTAACCATGGGTTAATTGGGATAAAAGCTGCACAGGAGTTCTTTGTCCTATTCCTGTAACTTTTTGAAAATTTGAAATGATTTCAGAATAAAGTTACAAAAAAGTATATCTGTGCAATGATTACAACTACAAGAATGTTGTATCCTTGCCAAAAGGTAGGAAAGGCTGCCTGACAATGAAAATATCTCATTTGAATGGGCCAGATGGTGGGTGACACTTTCTCCTCATTAAAGAGAAGTGCCGATGTCAATTATGTTACTTGAGTCACACAAAAATTCAACAATAACCAAGTAACCCTACGGGAAAAGTAATCATTCAGTGGCAAGTGGAGGGGCTTCTGAAGACATGAGACATATGGTTAAGTTACTCCTGGCGTTACCTGCTGCCCAAGGAGATGTATACAGAGGTGACTCTAGAAATGGGTGGGTTTTTTTAGATCCCTATCATGCCCATTTCTGGGCAAAGACATACCTTCATAATAGCTTCGTTGATCAAGTTCTCGCTGATGATAGTGGCAGTTCCCAAGCTGGAGTTAGTAATCTTGGTGGCTGTCGTGTTCATTGGCTTCACAAGATGAGGTCTAAAGAGAAGGGAGAAAGGATCCTTAGCGCTTTCTGTAACGGGAAAGCTGAGAAACTGCCCATCTCAAAGATGGCAGCCAGCCAGAGAGACGAGGGCGGAGAGTGGTGACGCGCTGTTCACATCGCCGCTCTAACACATGCGAATGTTCCTGTAGAAAGGAAAGCAGTCAGCTCCAGGCAGCCAAATGCAAGCCAACAACACACACCCTTCGAGCCAGGTGTCCTGACATTCTCACAAGCCCCTTGTCCTCGTTCTCAACGTCAGGAGAACATTAAAGGCAGGCTCTTATTTTTTGGAGGCAACTAGAGCCTAGGACTCCACTGTGGGAGCCCTTGCAAAGCCTTCTGTTCTTCGGCAGTAAAGAAAGAGTTCAGAACAAACATGCCAGCTTCACACTGAGCGGTGGAACTTTAAAACGCTGCTTGGTTCTACCGCTCAATCTCAGTTGGCTTCTGAGACCATTAAGATACTCATCACAGTGCATCTCTGCTATTTTAGAGCTCCAAATCTGTGCAGAATCATTCCTAAACTATTTTTGAAGACTTACCACTACATTCTCGCTACAAACACAGGAGTGTCTCCAGGTGTTCCCACCACAGGAGATAGATAGCCCTTATAAAATAGGCCCTACCAGCAAAATAGGTGGGTTGCCCCATCAGAACATCTGTGCAGTTAGAAAGCCATAACCACCTCTGCAGGCAAAAAGCAAAGGGGACATCGCTCAAGTTTATGAAAACAATCTCCCCCGACTCTCACCTGTGCTTGGCTGACCCAGTTCCAGCTGAGACTGGATGTGTCTCCGAGGGTGAGACCCAGGCCTGAAGAAGCGGCTTCCTCTTGCCAGAATTTTCCACTTTACCAGGGAGGCCCTCTGCTGTTGCTTTTTTTTGAGATTCTGCTGTACTGGTGTGGGGAGTGTCAGAGTGTGGGTAGCTAGGGGAAGAGTGTGTGGCAGGAGAGGGCTCAGAAAAGGAGGGGCTGGAGAGAGGAGAATCCAGGGCCGGGTCAGGAGGCTGCCTTAGCCTCCCATTTCCCATCACTTTTGCCTCCTCGCCATCGCCAGGGCCTGGCAGCTGGGTGTCCAAGCGTGAGCTCTTGCCGAGACTTGGTTTAAGAATTCCTGGAGCTGTAGTGTGCTCTGAAGAAGCCGTGACAGCTGCTTCCGGTGCTCCCGACCTGAGCTCATGCAGGCTGTCTGCGGGCACTGCCAACCCACCTGCCTCGCCACTTGGCGCCTTCTCAGGATGGGCAGGTGACCTGCTCGGGGAAGAAGCTCCTTCCAGAGCTGCCACCTTTGCTGCCTCTCTGTCATCTTCCACCTCGTCCACTCTTTCATCATCCGATGTCACTTCAGGAATGGAAGGAAGGGTTAAGTCCAGATCAGCCGTGACTGGAGATTTAACATCTGAGGCAGACTGAAGGTCACCCAGGGGATCAGACAACAGGCCTTCGTGATCACTGGCTTTGCTCTGATTTTGAGCCAGAAGGGTATCGTCTCCCTCCATGCCTTGCCCCGAGCTGGCTTCACTCCCTGGGCCTTCTGAGTCACTGTCCTCATGGGAGGGGGGCAGCAGGTGACTGGCCATGGCAGCTGGCACACTGGAATTCAGCGGCCGGGGCTCAGTCACAGCCTCCCCCTCGGAGTCCTCTGCGTGGGGACGCTCAGCAGGCTCTCTGTCACACACGTCGCCGGTGGCAGCCCCTTCATGCTCCAGCTCCTGGGGATGACTTTCGTCCTCTCCGACCAGTCCAGGGGACTTCTCCACCTCCTCTTCCCTAAACAGCTGCTCAGAAAATGACACATGCTTCTTGGTCTTCTTTGGGCCCTCACTGCCATTCAGACCCATCTCTTCGTGCCTTCGCATGGTGGAGTTAAGTGGGGGGACCGGTTCTCCCATTCGAAGAGGGGGTAGCGCCTGTTTGATTGTGGCAGTCATTTCCTCACCCCTCACTCTGTCCTCCTCAAAAAACCCAGACCGACTCTCCAAGTCTGTCTTTACCCCCATTGGAGGCTTCCCAGCCGGGCCTCCCGTCCTGCCGCTTCTCACTGAAAGGGCCAATGTTACTTCTCGGGCCCCTTCTGACGAAGGGGGGTAGTCTTGTTGCTTTTTGGGGGGAAACCTCGGAGGTTCTTCTTGCTGCCCCGTTTCAGGCTGCTTCGGGGGACACTGTGCTGAGTCATCGCCACTGGTATCCTTCTCTGCATCTGCCTCCTTCGGGAGACACTTTGCTGAGTCATTGCCACTGGTATCCTTCTCTGTGTCCGTCTCGCTGGTCTTCCCCGCTGGAGCCTCCTCCGTCCCTTTCCACACCGCCGTGGGTGGCTGTTTGGGAAGTGAGCCCCGGGCACAAGAAACAGCGCTTGGAACTTGTGTTAAACTCTCCTTTTGCACCTCTGCGTCAAGGGGCACCGATGGTTCCTCAGCACCTGCCTGGCCCTGCTCGGTGGAAGGCCAGCTTGTGATAGGCGTGGATGTGGAAATGGGAGCTGCAAGGGGCGGGGAGAAAGCGGAGAAGACAGAAGGAGATTCTGAGGACTGTGTCTCTGCCTCATGCCCCGACTCAGGAGAGACAGGTGTCTGGGCGGGACTGGAAGGGAGAGCAGGAAAAAAGGGAAGGTAGTCAGGGGGAGGAGGAAGCCTGGCTGTGGGTTGAACCTCTGGAGACACTTCCAGTCTGCAAAAAGGACAAAATAAAATCTGCCGGTCAGTTGCAGATGCTGCATGAGAGGCGAAAAAACATGTAAAAGTAAAGTCGTCCAAAGGGGAGAACTTACTGATATATGTGGGGCAGTACCTTAAGAAGTTAAAAAAGGAACACACCAATACTTAATGTACAAAAGGGACGCTTCATCACCGAGCACACCTGCCACACAAAGGGCTTTGCAACAGGAACAGAAAGATCCAGGTAAAGCGACAGCCCACAGTTGTTGTTTTTATATTTTTATTGATTTCAGAGAGGAAGGGTGAGGGAAGAGAGAGATAGGAACATCAATGATGAGAATCATTGATCAGCTGCCTCTTCCATGCCTCTTACTGGGGCTCGAGCCCGCAACCCAGTTATGTGCCCTCGACCAGAATTGAACCGGGACCCTTCCGTCCGCAGGTCAACGCTCTATCCATTGAGCCAAACCAGGTAGGGCAGCCCACAGTTCCTTTTGGTGACACACAGAAAGCATCTAGAAAGTTCAAAGCAGTAAAAGATCCACCACAGGGCAACACACACACATTTTGAAGAGCAACCGTCTCTGCATGTCTGTGTGAGTCTGTGTGTGTCTGTGTGAAATCACAGTAAGCAGAATCTCAAATACAAGCCTCTCCCAACCCAGACCACAGAAACACTGCAAGTGAATGAGTCATGCTGACAAGCAGAAACCCCCAGGCTCTTGCAACAAGATGCAGAGTAAACACGCACAGAACTGTCACAGGAGTGTGACCAAGGGTCTCTCATGACAGCAAAGTGTGCAAGGAGGAGAGATAACATCAGCCTCGAAGGGAGAGGTGTGAAGAACTTACACCCAGTCCTGCACATACCACAACCGAAACCTGGTGTCCCCAACATGCAACACTCAGAATCTGCTACACCCACGGCATTCCCCTGGGTCTGAATATCACACATGAAGGGCCAAGACTCACCGAGGTTTCACGGCTTTGGTCTGGGGTGCCCTGGCAGAGGTAACAGGTGGTGTCCGTTCAGACTTGGGCTCTGGGTCAGCCGCCGGTACTGCGCTCTGCCCTTCTTCAAAGGGGTTCAGGGATTTCCCCCGTCCGGAGAAGGCGGCCATCGTATCCTTCTCAGATCTCTTCCCAAGACCCTCAGCAGGCCCCGGCCCGTCCTCCCTCAGCGGGCTCTCCTGCTCCTTCCCAGAGGTGGAAGCAGGGCTTTCGCCTTCACTGCCCTTGGCCGCATCCTTCTTTCCTGTCACCAGAGAGAGCAAAGAGGACTTCTTGTTCTCATGCTTCTTGCTCTCTTTGGATTCTTTCACGGCCTCCAACTTCGCTGGAGCTGCGTTTTCCCTAATGTCCCCGCTGACCGGCGGCCAGGAGGGCGGCAGGGTCATGGATTTCGGAGAGTTCTTTGTGGAAGACTCAGAGAGCCACTTGTCAGGAGACACGGCACCCCCTTCCCCAGGTTCCTTCCAGGACCGAGGAGACAGGTTTTCCGTGGAGGAGAACAAATGCTTCTTCCTGAAGCCCTGAGGGGACGGGGAAGAGGAGGTGCTGTCCTTCGTCTCAGTCTTGCCTTCTGGCTGCTCCACGTAAACATGGTTCCCGTTGATACAGACATTAGAGCGGGAGAGCGAGTCGTTCTTGGACCGAAGGCCGCCAAGAAAAGAGAGCCCTTCCTTCTTGGGAAGGGTGAGGTTGACCTGGTTCAGTTGCTTAGGATCTGCGCTTGCTGTTCTCTTGTGAGACATGACTGTGGGAAGGAAAACAAAGGCAAAAGGGAATAAGAAGTTAAACGACTGGCCCACAACTGGAGGGAGGGGGATTTTGTCGGTGCCTGAATGCATTCTCGGTTGTCACAGGTAGAGGCCAGGATGCTCCCAAAGATCATACAATGCATGGGACAGCCCCCCACAACAAAGAATGATCTGGCCCAAACTATGAGCAGTGCCAAGGTTGAGAAACCCTGCATTTAATCCATGAAAAGGGCAGCACTTTTGGTAGAGTTAACAGAATCTGGCCAACAGTAAGGATTTGATCATTGAAATTGCACTTCAAAATACACAGTTAATTCAGACTAAAGGGAATTGGATTTTCCTCAGCTTTCATTATGGATTTATCCCATGAGGTTTAGTACAATAATAGTTCAATAAAAACCTGATGAATTAATGAAATGTCAGTAATGTTCCATGGTTTAACCTTAAATTTAAAAAAACAAAAACCTGCCCGGCTGGTGTGGCTCAGTAGTTGAGCATTGACCTATGAACCAGGAGGTCACAGTTTGATTCCCAGTCAGGGCACATGCCCAGGTTGTGGGCTCGATCCCCAGTAGGGGGCGTGCAGGAGGCAGATGATCAATGATTCTCTCTCATCACTGATGTTTCTCTCTCTCTCTCCCTCTCTGAAATCAATACAAATATATATTCTTTAAAAACACAAAACAAACCTGGATGCACTCATTTTGTTCGATCTAGACCAGTAGTTCTCAACCTTCCTAATGCCACGACCCTTTAATACAGTTCATGTTGTGGTGACCCCCAACCATAAAATTATTTTCGTTGCTACTTCATAACTGTAATTTTGCTACTGTTATGAATCGTAATGTAAATATCTGATATGCAGGATGTATTTTCATTGTTACGAATTGAACATAATTAAAGCATAGTGATTAATCACAAAAACAATATGTAATTATATATGTGTTTTCTGATGGTCTTAGGCGACCCCTGTGAAAGGGTCTTTCGACCCCCATAGGGGTCACGCCCCACAGGTTGAGAACCGCTGATCTAGATGCTTGTACTAATGTACATCAGTTATAGAACCAGACATTTTGGAAAAAGAATTTATACATTCTTAGAAACCAGAGGGTTTAGAAATAGAGAAGGCTTCCTGACCAAGATAATCCATCATCACCACAACCACCACCATCATTTTAGTAACTGAGAATCTGAATTAAAATCTTTCTCGTAAGACTGGTGTGTTTTTTCTCTCTAAAGCAAAGTAAGTTAAGCTGAGAGGAAGAGGCCAAGTAAGAAGGAGGAGGGAACTCACTGTCCGAGGCAGAGGAGGATTCATCCTCGTTGTCATCATCCTCCCACCGGGACTGAAACTCCCCAGGACGCAGCAGCACTTTGTCTGACTTTGGAGTAGGCAGGACAGACATGGACTGGGAAAGTGGTGTTTTCTGCAAGTTAGACTTGGAAAACAAGGTCTTGATCTTTGACTTCTTTTTCTTGTCTTTCGAAGGTGACTCATCGTCGCTGTCGACAGAGGGTGATGTGCTGGGGAGGATGGCTGAAGCGGTGTCTGATGCACTATCCTTATTCTTCCCCCTGATCTTGTCCTTCAGTTTCCCAAATGGATTCCGAGACTTGTCTTTCACGGACAGGTCAAACATGCTAGCAGTCATGTTGTTTCTCATAAATTGGATGTCAACCTCGATTTCTCCTCGCTCTTTATCCTTCTTTCCTGGTTTGGATTTCAAGGTGTACCACCTACAAGGAGAAGGCTGAGAGGTTAGCTTTGAACTGAAGAGCCTAAGACAACGTTCACAATCCCTACTAACTGGCCCCTCCTCTCCGCTGTTACCAACCTCTTATACAAACATATTCTTATGCTCTCTTCTTTGGGGAGTAAAGGGTGGGGGAGGGGATAAAGACAGAACTTGTCGTTTTATTTTTGAGAAGCCATCCACTAGGCAAAGATAGGATCTGATTCTGTACTCAGTGTAGCATCACCTAAAATCTTCTTGAGTCAATAAAGTGCTATGTTTAAAAATAAAATAACCACTCCAACAAATCATTTCCAATGACCTGTATTTTCCTGCAATAGGGTAAAAATGCAAAGATCATGCACACATAGTTAAGAAGGTAGAATGCAAATTTACAAGTAAATCTCAGAGAAAAGCAAGCGTTTGTAGAACAGTCCCTGGTAGGGAGTAATTGAAAATATAAGACAGTAAATATATATATATATATATAGATTCCACTTATATGAGGCATGTGGAGTAGTAAAATTCATAGAGATAGAAAGGAGAATGCTGGTCACCAAGAGTTGGGAGAAGGAGTGAATGAAGAGTTAGTGTTTAATGGGGACACAGTTTGCCTGACCAGTATGGCTCAGTGATTTATCCCATGAGGTTTAGTACAATAATACTTCAATAAATACCTGATGAATTAATGAAAGAGCATCAGTCTGTGCACCGAAGGATTGTGGGTTTGACCCCTGGTCAGGGGCACATATCTGGGTTGTAAGTTCAACATGTGCGGGAGGCAATCAACCAATGTGTCTCTCTCACATCAATCCCTCCCCCCGCCCCCACCTTCCTTCCACTTTCTCTAAAAATTAATGGTAAAAATATACTCAAGTGAGGATTAACAAAAAAAAAATTTTAAGTTTTGGGTTGAATGGTGGTGATGGTTTCACAACAATGTGAATGTGCTTAATACCACAGAACTGTATACCTAAAAATAGTTAAAGTGGTAAATTTTGTTATGTATGTATAATTGTTTACCACAATGTTTTTTTCCTTTGTTAATCCTCACCCAAGGATATTTTTCCATTGATTTTTAGGGAGCGTGGAAGAGCAAGAGAAAGACAGAGAGAAACATCGATGTGAGAGAAACACATCGATTGGGTGCCTCCTGAAGGAGCACCGACCAGGGCCCAGGCCGGGGAGGAGCTTGCAACCAAGGTACATGCCCTTGACCAGAATCGAACCTGGGACCCTTTGGTCCACAGGCCGATGCTCTATCCACTGAGCCGAACTGGCTAGGGCCCACAATATTTTTTAAAGGAGTATTTCAAACATTATTCAAGTATTTCTCCTGGTCATTTGCAAACTACTTGAAGACTTTGGCAAATGACGTATCAGTTCCACTCCACTGAAAGACAAACTTCAGAAAAAGGAGCTCTCCCCTTGGCATTTTCCAGCTGGTTAACTGCAAGAATGTGAGCAGTGTGACCACTACAGAACAAGCAGCTCCAAGTACACGGTCTCCTGACAACCAGCCCCAACGTCACCCTCACCGACAGAACCTACATTCTGACTTCATTTTAGTGACCTATTTAAGAGTTGAGGGCCATGGGGCTTTACGGAAATGATGGTTTTGCCCAAACAACCGCAATTTCCTCTTTCACCTTCAGCCTGTCTTGCTCACAGGGCAGATCACTGCCCTCACTATTTTAGCTCACCCCTACACTTCAAGGAAGGGAACAGAGGGAGGTAGAAACCCAACACTTAAATAGCACCTCCAGCATACCGGGCACAGCACACACTGAGAAACATCCTCATTTAAGTCTCACAAGAATGACATTTCTTTATCTCAAAAATGGGATCTTTTACCCATTTTACAGATGAATGAGATGGAGGCTTGCAAGTGAGGTCATTGGTACAAGGTCTTAGGACTCATAAGAGGCACAACTGGGTTCTGAATCAGTTCTGCACTTCAGAGCTCCCACTTGTCCCTTACACCAAGATTCCTGCTTGGCATTCTCTCCTAACGTATCTTCCCAATGGGCCACCTTTTGCAACACACAGGAAGGAGGGCTCAGATTTCAACTCTTATTTATTTATTTTTGTTGTTGTTAATCCTTACCTGAGGTTATTTTTCCATTGATCTTTTAGAGAGAGTGGAAGAAAGAGGGAAAGGCAGAGAGAAACATCGATATGAGAGAGACACATCGATATGAGAGAGACACATCGATATGAGAGAGACACATTGATTGGTTGCCTCCTGCACGCCACCCCCCCCCCACTCCCACCCCATCAGGACCCAGGCTAGGAAGGAGCCTGCAACCAAGGTACATGCTCTTGGCTAGAACCGAACCTGGGACCCTTTGGTTGCAGGCCAAACCAGCTAGGGCTCAACTCTTTTTGAGGAAAGTTTGAGCTTCTAATTTAAACGTCCTAAGATAAAAGAAAGGGGGAGAACCCACCATAGCTTGCCATCAGTCATTAATCATAAACTTTCATAAAGTCCAGTGTACAACGTCATCACGAAGAACTTAATCCACATTATCAAAATACAGCCAAGATCTGAGAACATGATGTCAGCTATGATTTTGGACCTCGAGGAGAACTCTATCATGGTTGTTAAAACCACAATCCACAGCTGGAGAGGAAGGGGAGATGCAAGGTCCTGCCAGACAGCCTGGCCTCTGCCAGCCTGGTGTCTTTCCAGTGCATTTCCCAGGACCTGGCCGGGGAATAGTTTGCATATTTGTCACCTAGATGCTGAGAGGATTATTTGTATTTTTCTCTTCTGACAGTCATGTGCTAACTGGTAGCCGTGGTGATGAAGGTGGTTACCTTTTGTAAATACCAACTTGGAAAGGGTTGCTGAAAGTTGAGTCCCAGGGCTCAGAGGACCATACCAGCCACAAGCAGAGAGCTGCCCCTGTCCACCCAGGGGATGCGAAGACAGGACAGACTTTTAAAGAATATGGACTTGACAGTTCTTGGGACCAGGCCTGCCTTTCCAAAAATATCAGTGCCAAAGTCTGTTTATTTTGACCAAAGCTCCAACCAACTCCAGAATCCTCCCTGCAGGCCTATTATTACCTGCTGCACAGGTTCAAGCCGCAGGCGCTGACGTGGGATTTGTTTTGGAAGCCCAACACCACTAGGAGGTGTGAAGAGACACTTCATCAACTGGTCCTGTCTGCTTACTTTCACAAACAACCCAAACACCAAGGAACCCCAGAACAGCACTATTTAAGGAGGTGAAAGGCAGGCTGAATCACAGACGGGTAAGCATCTCATGCATATGTTCAGAATTTTTAAAAACCTGTGCTGGGTTTATTAAAGCTAGAAAGGAAGACAGGAGTTGTTTCTTCTATTATTAATATTATCCAAGGGATATTTGACACAAGCATAATTTATAACAAGAGTTATAAATCATCCTAAGGAATCCCCAACCAGAACATGTAATGGGGTTTTAATCTTTAAACATCAATTCAATTTTTAAGCATTTCTGTTCATTTGCTTTTAAGCCCACTTAATTCCAGCACCTTGCGGAAGTAGTTCATAAATAATGAAGCATGGCCACACAGCACAAGATGTCAGCATGGGCGTGTCCAGCATTACCTTTCACGTAGGCCCAGACGGCTTACTTACATTATCTCAGAAATCAGGGCCGGGTTCATTTTCCTAGTCCAAAGGGCAGAGAACAGAGAAGAAAGCCATAATCCCAATGTAGCAAGTTTATTTTTAAACCCATGTCTGACAAAACCCTGCAACCTATCAAAAATGATCCTTCTATAAGCAAATACTGATTTTTTTTAATATATTTTATTGATTTTTTACAGAAAGGAAGGGAGAGAGAGAGTCAGAAACATCGATGAGAGAGAAACATCAATCAGCTGCCTCCTGCACATCTCCTACTGGGGATGTGCCCGCAACCCAGGTACATGCCCTTGACCGGAATCGAACCTGGGACCTTTCAGTCCGCAGGCCGACACGCTATCCACTGAGCCAAACCGGTTTCAGTGCAAATAATGATTTTTACTTATAATTAAAGTTCAGTTCTTCAAAGTTTAGTAGGATTTCTGAATACATAGGAAGTGACAGGAAACTTATGTAAACTATATTTTTAAGTAATAACAGGCATAGGATAAAAATTAAAATCATACAAAATGGTATAGAGCCCTGGTCAGAGGTCACCTGTTGGATTCCTGGTCAGGGCACATGCCCGGGTTGTGTGCTCGCTCCCCAGTAGCAGGTGTGCAGGAGGCATCTGATGGATGTTTCTCCCTCTCCCTTCCTCTCTCGAAAATCAATAAAAACATTTTTTTTTAAATGGTACAGAATGAAAACTTCAGTCTTTTACCCCTCCATGCTTCTCACGCAAGTGATAGTCTTGGGCATATACAAGCAAAAATGTGAAGCATCCACACAGCTGCCCTCCTGTTGGGGGATTAGGGTTGGGTTTTTTTGTCAAACAACAGATAAAAAAAAAAAAAAAGAAAAATTCTTTCCAGTCTTCTAGATGTAAGATTAGGTCTAGGACCTAAGAGCAGTAGGGAATGTAAAAATAGAATGAGCCCTAACCGGTTTGGCTCAGCGGATAGAGCGTCGGCCTGCAGACTCAAGGGTCCCAGGTTCGATTCCGGTCAAGGGCACGTACCTTGGTTGCGGGCACATCCCCAGTAGGAGGCGTGCAAGAGGCAGCTGATCGATGTTTCTCTCTCATCGATGTTTCTAACTCTCTATCCCTCTCCCCTCCTCTCTGTAAAAAATCAATAAAATATATTTTTTAAAAAATAGAATGAACTAGGTACAGGAAGGAAAAGAGGTGGAAGGTAGAACTCAGGATCCCCCCACCCCAACCCCACCCCCAGGGCTGGGTTGGGGAGCTACTGCCTAGATCTGTATTGTCAAATCTCCTGGGCTTTGAAACAGTCATTCTGAGAACAGCTCATGCCATCCAAACATGCCCAATTCTCAGGGTTGATTTGCCTCAGAATGTACAGTTTCTCAAACACAGGGAAAGCG